CAGTATTCCTTTGGATAAGATTGGGGTCTGCTGTTCATTTTCCCAGTTCTAATGTTGGGTTACTATCTGGGAATCCCTTTGGCCACTCTGGCCAACAACTCAAAAGAAGGTATTGCCTATCTGGCATTGTTGTTATGTAGCCCTTAGCTGCGCATATGGACTCTTAAATTATATTGGCCCCTTTAATCTTTGGATATACTTTCCTCATATATGTTAAGGCCTTTTGAATCAAGTTTGTGTCCCCAGATGTCCCTTGGTGTGAGTTCATTCATTGAAGCCTGGTCGGTCTATGTAGCATTACTCCCTTAAAGATCACCTCTCCCTCAACCAGTAGTGATCAGCTGCCAATAGTTCCTCAGCTAAGGGTGGGGTTCCTTAACTATTTTCTAGTTATATGCTGTTTCTTTTTTTAAAAAAAATATTTTGTTTATTACTTTTATGTGCATGAATGTATTGCCTTCAGGTAGGTAGGCGCACCCATGTTGTACAGTATCCATGGAGATCAGAAGAGAGCATTGGATCCCCTGGAACTGGAGTTATGGACAGTTGTTAGCCTCCATATGGGTGCTGGTCCTCTGCCACAGCAGCCAGTACTCTCAACTGCTGAGCCCTCTCTCCAGCCCCTATGCTGGATTTTTATCTGGTTTGAGCTTGCATGGGTCTTGTGCATGCTGGCACCATTACTGTGAGCCCTTTTAGAGTACTTATTACTGAGCCTTCTCTTCCACAGTGGTCCCTGAGCCCTTGGTGGTAGAGGTTTAATATAGGAGTCCTGTCCAGGGACACTCACTCTGCAGTTTCTTAAACTTGTTACATTTTGGCCAGTTGTGGCTTTCTGTGTTAATCACCCTCTGTGGCATGGAGAACCTTTGATGATGAGAGTTGAGAGATGCGTTAATAGTCTCTCTACCCACTGTTCTGCTATGTTCCATGAGCCTTTGTGTTGAGGTTCCATTGTACATGTGTCACTTAGGACTGGGCATCTCACAGATATTTATTCTCTGCTGATGTGGAACTCTGTAATAGTCTCCATCTGTTGCAGAAGCTTCTTTGGTGAGTGGTAAGAGGTATAGATTTCAGGGTCTATACCTGGCAGTAGTCTGTCAGTTTATCAGGCTAGATGAGCAGAAATGGGCTTAGGCCTAAGGCAAGGGATAGGAATATCATGGGGAGGGTCTAACTAACTAGGCAGAATAGGTATGGGCCCTGGAGCAGAACATAGCTGGTCTCGGTGCAAGGGTATCAAGACTAGTAAACGGGTTCTGGCTTAGGAGGCTAGCCTAGAGGTCTCAGGTGGGATGAACAGGAGGGGGTCTAGGCCCAAGGTAGGAATGGGGACAGTGTGGGGAGGGTCTAACTAGCTAAAGCAAAATAGGTGTCTAAAGTCAATTTATTTAAAGTCCCTTGGAAAGAATTTCAGTATGTGGTTTTTATGCCAACTAGATATATACATTGTTAAGATTATTAATTTTATGTCTCTAAGTTAATATTTTAGTTGACTGCAGATTCACATATAGTAATGCAGATATCTTGTGCATTCCTACCTACTTTCTCCTACTAGTAACATCTTATGAAATTGTTTACAAAATATTATAATTAAGATTTTTTGGGGCTGGAGAAATGGCTCGCAGTTAAGAACACTGACTGTTCTTGCAGAAGACCCGGGTTCGAATCCCAGCACCCACATGGCAGCTAACAACTGTCCGTAACTCCAGTTCCAGGGGATCTGACAGCCTCTTCTGTCCGCAGGCATTGCCCGACACGGGTGCACTTACTTACGTGCAGGCATAACACTCATACACATAAAATAAAAAAATTTTTTTTTTTAAAAAAAAAAAAGATTTTTCACATTAAGGAATCAAGGAATAGAATAGTCCATCGTTGCTAGAACCCTTCATCCTGCCACTTGTAGCCAGCTCTCCCCAGCCCCTTCTATCCTTGATCTTTAGCACCCATTAATCTATACCCCATTTTGATAATTTTGACAATTCAAGAGTATTATATAAATAGAAGCATATAGTATAACCCTATATGCTGTTTCACTCATCATAATTCCTTAGAGAGCTAGTCATTTTGCTGCATGTATCACTATTCCATTCTTTTTCATGGTGATATATTCTGTGATACATATGTATTATGGTTTACTGGACAACTCACCGAGAAAATTTATTTGTGGTGTTCTCAAGATCCTTTTTGGCTTTTACAAATAAAGTTGCTCTGAATATTCATGTACAGGTTTTTATATGAACCTCATTTTTTTCCCCATGCACAAGAATATGATAACTCAGTTGTGTGAGAGTTGCATGTTGAGTTTTATTTTTATTTTTAAACTTTATTTACTTTTTTTATTTTTTATGTGTATGAGTGTATTGCCTGCATGTTTGGAAGTGTACTCTTTTGCACATGTGTGGAAGACCCGGCAAAACACAGACTGGAAAAAAAAATCCTAGTTGGATTATTCATACATATCTGATGGAAATGTAAAACAGCATAACCGTTTTCATTCTTTCTTTCTTTGATTTCTTTCATTGATTCATTTCAATACTGAGGATTGAACCCTTGGGCCTTTTACATACTAGATGAGCATTTTACCACTGAGCTATATCCCTAGTTCTTATAATTTCTTATATACCTAAACATGTGGTCCTGGAGAAATGGCTCAGCTCTCGTAGAGGACCTGGGTTCAGTTCCCAACACCCGTGTTGCAGCTCAAACCTATAACTCTGGTTCCAAGGAATCTGACACCCTCTTCTGGACTCTGCGGGCATCGCATGCACAGGTGCACTTACATAGATGCAGGCAAAACACTCATACACAATAAACTGAAAATAAATCCAAAAAAAAAAATTTTTTTTTTTAGTCTTTCTGAGACAGGGTGTTATCTGTAGCCCCAGCTGGCCTGGAACTTGGTATGTAGACCAGGCTGGACTCAATCTCACAGAGATCTGCCTGCCTCTATCTCCCTAGTGCTGAGATTAAAAATGTGCATGCCACCATGCCAGGCTCCAAAAAAAATTATTTTTAAATAATTTCCTTCTTAAAAACTTACTTTTGTAATTACGTAGTTTATTTAAGAAGTAATTGTGTTATGTTAAGTCAGATAGTATATTCAAGGGCTGGAGAGATGGCTCAGTGGTCAAGAACAGTGGTTGTTCTTGCAGAAGACCCAGGTTCGAATACCAGCATCCACATGGCAGCTAACAACTGTCCATAACTCCAGTTCCAGGGGATCTGACAGCCTCTTCTGTCCTCCGCAGGCATTGCATGACACGGTGCACTTACGTACATGCAGGCAATACGTGCATACACATAAAATAAAAATAAAATATTTTAAAAAGTATATTCAAGTAAGTTTCAATTCTGTCCTCCATGGGTATTGCATGACACAGGTGCACTTACACACATGCAGGCAATCCACTGATAAACATAAAAATAAATATTTTAAAAAGAAAGTTTGAGTTGCCAGTTTAATTAGGTCAGAGATATAAATTTCAGCATGATTTTACTTGAAATTCCCTTATTGTAAATGAAGTTTTTGTTTCTACCTTTTGGTGGACAGTTTTACTTATTTCTATTTTTATTTATTTTTCTGAGCTAGGATATCAGTATGTACAGTCTGGTGTTGAATTCCTCATTAGCCCAAGTGTATCTCAAACTCATGATCTTTCCACCTCAGCCATGTACCACTATGCCTGTCTTGACTGATTTTGGTAGACAAATGTCTGTGGGTCAGTTCCAGAAGAATTAGCTAAAAACTGACATAGACATTAAGAGAGAAGTTCTCTGAAAGAGCTTCTTATCATTAGTAGAATTTTTGTTTGTGACACTAGAATGATAATTATATTTCCTAGTGGACACTGAGGCAAATCCTTTACCAAGTTGTAAACATGTTAGTCTAAAGCTCTATTCTCTCGTAAGAATCGCCTGGGATCTCTGTGGTTAGAAGCCTTACTCCTCTTCTAAAAGAGCTGAGTTCATATCTCAGCACCCACATGGCAACTGCTAACAATCTGTAACTCCAGTTTCAGGGGATTCAACACCCTCTTCTGGCCTCCGTGGGCACCAGGCCCCCACGTTGTACCCTTATATATATGCAGGCAAAACACTCATATAACATAAAATTAAAATAAATAAAAATCTTTTTTAAAAAAAGAATCATCTAGTGTTAATTAGGTCTGTAATTACTATATACAATGGAAATGTAGAGTAAATGTAAAAACATTCCATGGATGAATTTGAGATAAGGGTTACATAGTGAGACCTTCTAAAAATACATAAACAATAGAAATAAGTAAGTAGTGGAAATAATTTGATATATGGAAATATGCGATAGGTACTAATTTACTATTATAAATTAAGATAATTTATGATGCTATTTTTATTATTTTTGATTTATTTTTATGTATATGAGTGTTATGCCTGCATGTAAGAGTACCCGTGTCGTGCAGTGCCTGAGGAGGGCAGAATAGGGTGTTGGAGCCCTTGGAATTGGAGTTATAGGTGGTTGTTAGCCACCATGTGGGTGCTGGGATATGAACCCAAGTCTTCTGTAAGAATAGCCAGTGCTCATACCAGGTGTGGTGGCACACGCCTTTAATCCCAGCACTTGGGAGGCAGAGGCAGGAGGATCTTTGTGAGTTCGAGGCCAGCCTGGTCTACATAGTGAGTTCCAGGATAGCGGGGGCTACAAGGAGACCCTGTCTCAAAAAGACAAAAAAAAAAAAAAAAAAAGAGTAGCCAATGCTCTTAACTACTGAGCCATCTCTCCAGCCCATAATTTATGAAGAACACTTCTTTCAGACTTTCTGCTATAAATATTGAGTTTGAAAAAAAATGTGCTCACTCCTTAAGTAAAAAAACATATTGTTAGCAGAATGAAACAGAATCACATAACTGGTATCTATTGCTACAGTACTAGATCATGTCTAAACTGTCAGACAAGAGATATTACATATTTTTTTATACTGTTGTTTTCCACTAAGCATAAGAGGGATAATAACCTTCATCACACTTAAAACATCGTGGAAGTTTGATGAAAAACATGTTAATGTTTTAATGTAGGAATTTGGATAAAGAGAGGGCGGTGCTACTACAACGCCGGAAAAGAGAAAATATGTCAGGTACGTAAAAAGGACCTATACTAACTTGAAAGTATGAAAACATAAATGGCCTGAATATTTTTAATTGGATGTAAATACACTGTTAATTAATTTTGACTTTATATCCTGTTTATAATCTCAGGTATAGATTTTTTTGATTATGGAATATATGTGTTCTTATTTTAGGAAACATACAAACCAGAACAAAGCAAAGTAAATAAGAAATTTATATCACCTGTAATTTTCTTATACACAGGTAACCTGATTTAAAGAAGTAAAGTATGTTGGTCAGAATGATGATCTATTAATTTATAATGTGAAACAGTATTTCTTTTAATTTTTAGGATACCATTTTCTAAATTACATATATACTGCAATTTGTGATGATCTATTAATCTATATTGTGTGACAGTGTATTTTTTTATTTTTTTGGTATACTTTTTTCTATTTTATATATATTGCGCTTTTTTTTCTGTGTGTGTGTGTGTGTGTGTGTGTGTGTGTGTGTGTGTGTGTGTGTGGTGATTGGTTTTTGGTTATTTTGAGATAGGATTTTCTTTTTTTTTAATATTTTTATTTTATGTGTATGAGTGTATTGTCTGCATGTATGTGAGTGCACCCGTGTCATGCAATGCTGCAGAGGTCAGAAGAGGGCTTCAGATTCCCCTAGAACTGGAGTTAAGGACAGTTCGTAGCTGCCATGTGGGTGTTGGGAATTGAACCTGGGTCCTTTGCAAGAGCAGTCAGTGCTCTTAACCACTTAGCCATCTCTCCAGCCCCGAGATAGGGTTTTCTTTTTAGCCCAGATTGGCCTGAACTTATTAGCCCAGGCTGGCCTGACCTCAACTCATTATGTAGTGCTTAGGTGCAGGCTAACCTTCTAATCTGTGATCTTCCTGCCTCAGCTTCCCAAGTGCTAATATTACAAGCATGTGCCACCATATCTGAGCTTGCCACAGTTTTCATTTTTTTTTTATTGAGAACAGAACACACAGTTTTGAATAATCACAATTTTTCAACCATTCCTCTTTGATCAATATTTTGGGTTGTTTGTAATTTTGTTTTGTTTTGTCATTGTTATGAGTGCCTTTGGTGAAACCCTGCTGCATAAGTTTGTTTTTGTACTTTTGTTGTTTTATCTTTGTCTAGATCCCTAGAAATGGGATGACTGGCTCAAAACATAAGTGAATATATAATTTTGATAGGCATGACTAAATTTCTGTCCCAAAGAAGTTTTAATATCCATTAGTAATAGTTAATAGAACACCACAGTGTGTTCTCAGACTTTTGGGTCCTTAGTAGTTTAAAGTGTAAGAAAAGTCATTTGTAGTTTGTATTTATATGTATCTTATGACTAGTGAGTGATTAAACTGAGAAAATATATTTATTCTTTACGAACACAAAGATGCTGTCTTTCATTGTTTGAAGTAAAAGTATTAAAAGTGTGATAACTTTGTTTTTCATTTGAAGATGGTGATACCAGTGCAACAGAGAGTGGCGATGAAGTTCCTGTGGAATTATATACTGCATTTCAGCATACTCCAACTTCAATTACTTTAACTGCTTCAAGAGTTTCCAAGGTTAATGACAAAAGAAGGAAAAAAAGTGGGGAGAAAGAACAAAACTTTTCAAAATGTAAAAAAGTACGTTTCTTCTTTTATTTTAGATGAGTAGAGAAGAACTGATAGAGCTGATTTTATAGATGGTACGTGACAGGGAGAGTAATAGATAACAGCTAAATGTGTGGAAAGATTTAACAATATTTAAAAAATTTTAAACTTACTTTAAAATTTCAGTGCATTTTAAAGACTGACTTGGAATGCAAAAGAAACACATTCCTTTGAAATTGTTGTTCTAACAAGACTAGTGATAGAAATATATGACAGGCTGTTTTAAAACAAAATAACTATTAGTAATGACTGACTAATAGGTAAGGAAGCATATAATGATGCTTATAGTTCTCTTTGGATAATAGTTTTAATAAGGCTTCCTAGTTACTGAATTTCTTTTCCTTCTTTTTTTTTGTTTTTTTGAGACAGTGTCTCCCTGCAGCCCCAGCTGGCCTGGGACTCAAGGCTGGCCTCTGTCTCACAGAGATCTACCTGCCTCTGCCTCCTGAGTGCTGGGATTAAGGCATGTACCACCACACTTGGTTTCCATTTTGGATATATCTTTTTTTTTGAGACATGGTCTCGCTGTAGCCCCAGCTGACCTGGAACTCACTATTGTAGGCCAGGCTGGCCTTGAACTCACAGAGATCTGCCTGCCTCTGCCTCCTGAGTGCTGGGATTAAAAGCGTGCACATCAGGCCTGGCTAGTTACTGAATTTCCTAACACACATATTTTTCTTTTAAATTTCATTTGACAAATTATCTAATATCTCAAAACTGTTTGTAGACTAATTTTTCATTAAATTTGTCAATAAAATTTCTTAATGTCAGAAAATACAATGGTGTTTCTATCAGATTATATGGTAAAAACATCCTATCGTGTATTGTGTTTTTTCTGTGTTTAGATGTGTTGTCATATAAATATTTACCATTAGGTTACAATTGCCCACAGTAACATAATACATAGGGTTGTAGCCTAGGCTCAATAAGCTAAACCATGTAGTTTAGATGTGAATTAGATTATACTTTATATTTGTGTATAAGGACAGAATAGCTCAATGATACAACTTTCAGAATGTATCCCTGTTTTATATAATATGTGATTGCAATTGCTAGTGAAAATTTTTGTCACATATGATAAAAAAGACTTCACATTGACTACATTGCTATTGTAGAATAAAACTGTATATAAAGAAGGCTTTAAAATAAAGCTCCCCCTCCCCCTTGAGTAATTCTTTATCATATATTTGGTTAGGTGACAGCATGTACTTAAATTTTTTTTATTTTCTAATTTCATCTTCCTGTGACTTTTGGAGTCTTCACTTTGGTTTGTTTTCTTTTTTTTTTTTTTGGGACAGGGGCTCCCTGTAGCCCCAGCTGTCCTGGAACTCACTATGTAGACCAGGCTGACCTTGAACTCACAGAGATCTGCCTGCCTCTGCCTCCAGAGTGCTGGGATTAAAGGCGTGCACAACCACGCCTGGCTACATTTTATCCGGTGAACAATTCACTGTTAGCAGATTTTACCCACATTTCTGGTTCATCCTTTCTTCACCACTTGAAATAGTCTTTTGCATCTCTTTTTCTTTAAAACTGCTACACTGAGGCTGGCATGTATGTTGCTTTTCTCCAGTCAATAATGGTCTTTCTTTGCATCTGAACTCTTTATTCCAGCACTTAACCATATTTTGCCTTATTTTATTACTAATTTTCTCATCACTGATTGTAATTCGCACCATGAAATATGTGCCTTTTATAGTATAGAAACTCACAGATCAGTAGCTCAGCCTTCTGTGTACTACTTTTTGTGAAATTCTAACTTTCTTGCTGTATAAAAGTTACTTGGAAATTTGATCTTTGTATATTTGGTTCAATAAAGCATAGATTGTGTATTTTTTTCTGGGTAGAATGACTTGTGGGTATTCAAAATGAATGAACCCTGGGTCTTGATTGTGTCATTTATTTCATAATATCCCTCTATACATAAAATGGAAGACACTTCCCAGACATTAAGTTAGTAATATTTGAGAAAGATTATAGGTTTAAGAAAATTCAAGAGCTGGGCATAAACAGTAACTACTTTGCTCTTCAGTGCATGTTAATTTTTTAATATGGGGGCAATATAGAATATAAAATATGTAGTAAAAGTATATAGTTTCCTCTACAACAAATTTGTATCTTCCCTGGTCATGTTCATGTATTACTCCTCTGTGTGTGTGTGTGTGTCTGTATGTCTGTCTGTGTCTGTCTCAGCAGCATAGCCAATACTTGGGCTCTAAAATCTTTTAAGTCATCTCAATCTTTGATATCTAAATTTATTCTCAAAATCTCTATTTATTGAAACATCTCCTTAGTATATTTTTTAGTCTTTGTGCTATTACAAACATATTGTATGTCCCAGCCCCAAACTTAGTCCAAGTCCCCACTATCTTGTAGTGCCATAATTCATTTCATCTACAGAGCTGATGTCTATAATTACCATAGGATGCAATAAAGTTGATGGTTATAATATTTAGCACCTAAAATATATGGAAGTTTTTGTTTTAGCATATTATAACATACCCATTCTAAATCGTCTGCATTATATTTGTAGAACACTATTCTAGTATACCTTTATCTACTTCATCATTTCCCTTGTTCTAGCATTACTGATATTATCAAATTTGTAAATTATTTCACTTCAGCAAAGTGCCTTAATGAATCAGTTGATTCTTAGTTATATCCAACTTTTCCAAAAACTAACCCAGAATTCCATGCTTATTTTAGGCCTTTCGTGAAGGATCTAGGAAGTCTTCCAGAGTTAAGGTAAATATATTAAGGCATTATTGTCAATTAGTGCTTACTCAAGAACTTACTGAATGGCTGTTTGTCTATATCAGTACTTCATTGTGTGCCATTTCATTGCTTAGTACATTTATAAGAAGTAGGACCTTAGAATCCTTGTCGTTTATTGACATTGTTACATCATTAATAAAAGGGGAGGTATATAAACAATTTCCAGTATTGAAATTGGGGTAAATAGAATTTCATTTATCACTGTATTCCATGTCTCAGATGCAGATTAGTATTCTTTACACATTAATGCAGAATGCATTTGAAAATTTAAAATTTTCTCTGCTGGGCGTGGTGGCGCACACCTTTAATCCCAGCACTCAGGAGGCAGAGGCAGTCGGATCTCTGTGAGTTGAGTCCAGCCTGGTCTACATAGCGAGTTTGATGCCAGCTGGGGCTACAGAGAGACTGACCCTTTCTATAAATAAATAAATATAAATGAATGAATGAATGAATAAATAAATAAATAAATAAATAAATATTTCTCTTTTGCACACTTGGGATTCTAGAGTTAGTCAAGCCAGTCTTTGTACTATAAAATCACTATGGACTCTTGATGTAAAGACAAACTAATCATGTGTTGAACTAATTAAAATACATCCTCAAGTTTTTAGATTCTAAAATTTTCCTCCTCTGCCTTTTCCTTACAACACAGGTTTGTGTTAATTTATAGAAATACTTTTTGTGTTAATATAGCTTTCTGGCCTAGGTAGTAAAGTACAAATTTCTTATTTTGTTTTGAGACAGGGTCTTACTGTGTACCTTGGCTGGCCTGGAACTTGTTAAATAGACTAGGATGGCCTAAAACTCATAGTGATCTCCTTCTTCTACTTCCCAAGTGCTAGGATTATAGAGCAGCACCATCAAACTTGGTATATATATTAATAAGCACAATAATTTTTATGCCATATTTCTGAAAAACAGTCATTAACACCCTAATTATTCTTGTGTAATTTTGTAATCCTTTCTCAAGAACATTAATACATGGTGCTTTTCATCACACTGCATTCCCAAATGTCCTGTATAAGAGATTTTCTACTTTTTATACTATCTTAAATTTGCAAAATTTGCTCTGACAGAATAAAGAAGTCTGAACTTTGTACTTATTTGAATTATTAATCTAGCATTCCTCTTTCCTGTTTTATCTAATCACCTGAACTCTAGGCTTGAAGAAGCAATATCTTTTATGTATCTGAAATAATTTCATTTATTACATAAAGTAACTAGAGATGTAAAATTTTTCTTTGTCAGATGTCAAAAATAATATCAATCTACTGAAGGCATCTCCTTAAAAGCATTACAATGCTAGTAATTCTTCAGTAAATTTTACAATGTTTAAGAACTGTAGAAGAGCTAGTTCAAGTTATTAGTAGAGGAATTTCTTCTAGGCACAAAGAAAAAATTTAAAAATGAATGGATTCCAAGCCGGGTGTGGTGGCACATGCCTTTAATCCCAGCACTTGGGAGGCAGAGGCAGGTGGATCTCTGTGAGTTCAAGGCCAGTCTGGTCTACATAGTGAATATAGTGAATTCCAGGACAGCTGTGGCTACAAGGAAAACCCCGGCCCCAAAAAACCAAAAAAAAAAAAAAAAAAAAAAAAAAAAAGAATGGATTCCTTTAGTATAAAGCCTTAACATACAGTGATGACTCATAAAATCTGTTATTTATCAAATGGCATATTAATAATATAGAATATGTACATATGTAAAATATTCATTCACTATCACTTAATACATATTTTTTGCTGGGCCATTGGACCCAGAGCCTCATACATGTTAGGCAGGGAGTCTAAGACTGAGCTACATCCTCAGTATCACATATAATATCAATTGATATAATAAGCCTGTACCTATCAAATAGTTGATCAGCTTATTATAGTTTATCCTTCATTATAGAAAAGGATACTTACTGTAATAAAGAATTGTCATTCCTTTAGAACATAGATTGATAGGGGGTTTTTGTTTGTTTTTTGAGATAGGGTCTCCTGTAGCCTCAGCTGGCCTGGAATTCAGTGCATAGACCAGGCTAGTCAGAATCTCATAAAGATCTGCCAGCCTCTGTCTCTTTGCTGGGATTAAATGCATGTGTCATCTCAACCAGCTGATAGAACATTTTAGTAATGAAGTACTGATTTTTTTGTTTTTTTCATTACTGGGGAATTCTGAAAGTACTCAGTCCTTGTGCATGCTAGGGAAATACTCTACCACCCAGACCCCTTTTTCACTTTTTTTACTTTTGAGATAGAGACTAAGTTGCCCAGACTGACTTTGACCTACCTCCGCCTTGAACTTAGGATCTTATCTCAGCCTCCTGAAAAGCTGGAGTTAATTGGCCTATGATACCAAGTTTGGATTATAAAAGTCTTTATGAAACCTGGGCTGAAGAAATGGCTCAGTGGTTAAGAGCTTGTAGCGCTCTTGCAGAGGGCCTAAGTTTGTTTCCAGCTGTGATTATGGCTTCAGGGTATCTGACACCCTCTTCTGGCCTCCTTGGGCACTCATGCATATGTAGCATACATTCACACAAACACATATAACACATAAAGTCTTTGAAAAATTTTTGTAAGTTAAATATGCTATTACAATTTCAGTTTGGTTTTACATACAAAAGCAATTTTTCTAACAAGATTTTTAATATAGAAATTATGACTATCACAATTAAATTAAGCTATCAAAGGAAGGTTTTGTTATAAAATATAATTATGTATTAGAAATAAATTTAAAGCTGGGAATGATGGTGCCTGCCTTTAATCCCAGCACTCGGGTGGCAGAGAGGTAGACAGATCTCCTTGAGTTTGAGGTCAGCCTGGTCTACAAAGTGAGTTCCAGGCAAGTCAGGGCTCTATAGTGCAACCCTGGGAGGCGGAGGCAGGTGGATCTCTGTGAGTTCGAGGCCAGCCTGGTCTGTATAGTGAGTTTCAGGCCAGCAGGGGCTAGGGGAGACCTTATCTCAAAAAGACAAAAACTAAAAAATAAGTAAATAAATAGATTTATATTTAGTTTGTAGCATTTTGTACTTCACATAATACAGACTTATTTGAGTTAAATAAAATTGTGAACAAGTAGTTTGTTGCTATAAAGTAAATATTGGCGGCCTCTGGAATCAGAAGTTTCATATACTGCCTTCTTTTTTAACCCATTAACTGACATTTATCCAAAGTTTTAGTATTTGATTTTATTCATAGCCTTGTTGACTATCATAGTGACAATGAAACTTGGATTTTTGCTCTTTCAAAATTAGTGCCTCAGTTTTTTACTCATTTTTTTGGCATGCAGTATAAAAATACAATGGGCTAATTTATGTCCTTTTCATTTGGATCACCTTAGATAGCCAAACACTGTAGCTTATACTCTTTTATGTAAATCGCCATTTATTTATGTGTAGTGTGTAATGGCGTGTATAGCATTTAAATTCAAACAGTAATCCTTATTTTGCTATGATTTTAGGGTTCAGCTCCAGAAATTGATCCTTCATCTGATGGTTCAAATTTTGGATGGGAGACAAAAATCAAAGCATGGATGGATCGATATGAAGAGGCAAATAAGAACCAGTATAGCGAAGGTGTTCAGAGGGAGGCACAAAGAATAGCGCAAAGACTAGGCACCAGTAATGACAGAAAAGACGTGACTAAATCAGAATTGAGTATCAACAGTTCACTCTTCAAACCTCCTGTAGAGGTACATATATCACCTGTCAAAAAATTACTAAGCTACTTTTGTGTTGTACATTTTTAGAGTGAAATCAACCAAATTTAATGTTGACATTTACTGATTCTAGAGCCACATACAGAAGAATAAAAAAATACTGAAATCTGCCAAAGATTTGCCTCCTGATGCACTTATTATTGAATACAGAGGGAAGTTTATGCTGAGAGAACAGTTTGAAGCAAATGGATATTTCTTTAAAAGGTATATTAATTTTCTTGTATTTGTTGGGTTTTTTGTTTTCTTGTTTTTGAGAAAGTCTCATTCTGTAGCCCAGGTTGGCCTAGAACTCATAGTATTCCTCATACTTTAGCCTCCTGAGTGCTGAGTTTACAGAAATCAGCCACCATGCCAACTAAATTTATGTTTGTGTGAAAGTGGGCATATGCATGCCACAGTGCCCAAGTGGGATCAGAAGGAAACCTCAGATGTTAGTCAGCACTTTGTACATTGCTTGAGAAAGAATTTCTTTTGTTGTTCGCTGCTCTGTATTCCAATCTAGCTGGCCTGCAAACCTCTAGGGATTCTCTTCTTTCTACCTCCCATCTTGCCATAGAAATACTGGAATTATAGACCTGTACTACTGTACTGACATTATATAGGCTCTGAGGATTTGAACTCAAGTTCTTACATTTGCATGGCAAGTGCTTTACCCACTAAGCCATCTCCCTAACCCATGGCTGCATTTTTTAATACTCTGCCTAGATCCTTTGATCATGTGGGGTTTTCATATGTAATCATTTCAGTATTTTAAAGTATAGTGTTGTTGTTGAACTAATGACAACTCTTATAGTAAGATAACAAAGTGCAAACATTTCTCAGTCCCCTGTCCATTTCTGTTTTGAACTCTAAGCCACTTTAAACACATGTAAAAGCAATATAGCTTAGTGATATATTGTATTAGTCAGAAACTCTCATTACCTAAGATTATCCAGAACCTTTCCATCCAGTATCTAAATTGTTGTAACCGGAAAAGACTATGATAAGTAAAACAAAAATACCTCCTCTTTTGTTAGACAGTGTTAGATTTATTTCTTTGCCATTACCACCACTTTCAACTCTCACTTTATTATTATTGTTGAAAGGGTTTTGGAGGCTTCTATAGCTTAGGATTCTTGTGGAGAATTGATATGATCTTCTGGTAGCCCTTACTCAATACAGGGTAACTTTACCAGTTTCTGTCCTACAATTATTGAAACATTCTTTGTTTATAACTTGAGTGTTTACTTAAGCCATGAAAGATATATAAAATCTGTGACTATTGTATAGCAAATTTGATCTGAAACCCAATATAAATCAGTATAAACCCAATATAAATCTTAACTGCACCAAGAAATGGGACTTTAGAAGCATGGAATTATCCTTTAAAAGCACTGTTTACTTTTTTTTATTGCTCAAGAATTTCTACCTTAAATTAGTTACTTTTGACTTAGGAAACTTAAAGAGGTAGCTACAAGTCTTACTAACCTAAAGTAGCACAATTTAAAAGCAGTTTCTGGAGTCAGGTTACCTACATTCAAATAAACTCTTGTTTTATTTTTACCCATTTGTCTCTAAAGAGTAATAGAAAATTGCTGTATTAAAGTTTTGTTGTTTTGTGATGCTGGGTGCCTTATGTACACCAGGCAAACCCTCTACCACTGAACTATATTCCCCAGCACTGTTATACTGAAAGCTTGTAATGCTTCTTTATTGTAGGCCATACCCTTTTGTTTTATTCTACTCTAAGTTTCATGGGCTAGAAATGTGTGTTGATGCAAGGACTTTTGGGAATGAGGCTCGATTCATCAGACGATCCTGTACACCTAATGCAGAGGTAAGCTTATTGTCATCTTTGGGGAGATGGGAACATTAAGTATTAAAATCTACTAGTTTAAAAACACCTTTTAATAGCCAGCTTGATGGCACATGCCTTTAATCCCAGCACTGGGGAGGCAGAGGCAGGTCTAGCCTGCTAGCCAAACAATATTTCCAAGGAAGCCTCAGTTCTGACTTAATATTACAAATCTGCACCCACATTCCAACTTTTTTGTAAAAAAAAAAAAAAAAAAAAAGCTTATCAGATGCATAAGAATTAGGAGCCAGATAGAAAAAGGCTAGAGTAAGCTGGGTGTGGTGGTGCATGCCTTTAATCTTAAGCATTCTAGAGGCAGAGGTAGGTGGATTTCTGTGAGTTCAAGGCCAACCTGGTCTACATAGCAAGTTCCAGGCCAGCCAGGGCTATAGGGAGACCCTGTCTCAAGAAAGACCAAACCACCTTTTTAACTACTGATGCATTTTATTTTGTCCAACATTTTTCTCTTAAAAATTATTTTGCATGGGCTGGAGAGAGAGCTCAGTGGTTAAGAACACTGGTGGTTCTTGCAGAAGACCTAGGTGCAAATCCCAGCACCCACATGCCATAACAACTGTCCGTAACTCCAGTTCCAGGGGATCCAACATCCTCTTCTGTCTTCCGTGGGAATTGCACAACACGGCTGCACTTACCTACATGCAGGCAATACATGCATACACATAAAATAAAAATAATAAAATATTTTTTAAAAATTATTTTCCACATCAGTGAAACTGTGATGATCCTTGTAAGAGGGAATATTGGACTTCTGTTAACATTGAAGTTGTATTTGTGGGTCAAATTTAAGCCATGATCTTATCTGTCCATTACAAAACTAACTAAAAGCTAAAGATTTAATTTTTTTAAATATTTATTCTTTGTGTGTGTGTGTCTGAGGGAGAGAGAGAAACAGACAGACAGACAGACAAGGGATTGAATATAGAACTTCATACATGATAGGCAAGTGCTTTACCACTGAGCTATATCCCCAGCCCTTCTTTGCCTTTTTATGTGCAAAAAAGGTACTAAAGTAAAAGAGCATCATGGGAAATACAACTAAAACATGTCAATGAAAAGCAGACTGTTAGGTGTATTATATTGCATTTCATTGTACTCAAGATCATATATCTACTTGTAAGACTCCACAATTTCAGAGATATTTAAAGGTGAAAAATTACACATTTCCAGATGATGAAAATGCTGTTTGGTTTTTGAGACAGGGTCTCACTTTGTAGCTCTGTGTAACCTGAAACTTGCTTTTGAGACCAAGCTGGTCTTGAACATCAAAGATTCTGCCTACCTCTACCTCCATATGATAACCACAGATTTATAAGTCTTGTGATATTATTTTTTAAATATTTTATTTACTATTTTTATTTAACGTGAGTGTATTGCCTGCATGTAAGTGTACCCGTGTCTTGCAATATCCGTGGAGGTCAAAAGAGAGCATTGGATTCCCCAGGTACTGGAGTTACCTGCCCTGGAGTGGAGTGCTGGGAATTGAACCTGGGTCTTCTGCAAGAGTAGCCAGTGCTCTTATCCACTGAGTCGTCTCTCTAGCCCAGGTCTTGTGATTTTATAGTCTTGTGATTAACCGTATTTTCCAAGTTGTGTTTGCAAACTGCTTTTGAGAATTTTTCTTTTTGAGAATAAATTTGCAGGATACAGATGCTTTGAACAGAAAATAATTTATAAAAATATAAAAGTATTCATTTTAACTAACAGGTGAGGCATGAAATTGAAGATGGTACCATACATCTCTACATTTATTCTACACAAAGTATCACAAAAGGAACTGAAATTACTATTGCCTTTGATTTTGACTACGGGAATTGGTAAGTTCAAATCTGTAAAATAGTTCAAAATAGTTCCTTAATATCTTCATAACAATTTAGGTGTTGTCACTACTTTAGCTTATCATCAGGAGACAGTTAAAAGTACCTGAAATTAAGGGTGATGGTATGACCCTCTACTCCATCAGTTACTTATTTTCTGAACTTTCCCTGTTCATTGTAATGTAAATGACCATAGTGTATAATGAGTAGCTCTTATTCATCCATACATTGACTTTGTTGTGTGAGAAATTTTTTAAAATATTTTTATTTTTTTGTGTATGAGTATATTACCTGCAAGTATATAAGTGCACCCATGTTCTGCAATGCCTGCAGAGGTCAGAAGAGGATGTCAGATTCATCTGGAACTGGAGTTATGGGTGCTTGTTAGCCACCATATGAGTGCTGGGACTCAAACCAAGTTCCTCTGCAAGAGCAGCCAGTGCTCTTAACCGCTGAGCCATCTCTCCAGCCCCAATGTTGTATGAAAACTCTTGTCCTCACTTTCTTGTATTAAAAACTTGTTACACAACTTTTTATACAACTTACTTGGTTAATCAATATGAACACAATTTCTTTTTTTCCTTCAAAACAAAAGATACTATACCAAGTTTTCTTTGTAATGTAATTATGAAAAAGTTTGTTGGAGTTCCTGCAATGAAACTCTGAGAACCATTGTTCTGAAATGTTAAGAAAAAGAAACATTAATTCTGAGTATAAGAGCATATTTTTAAATTTAATATGAAAACATAAATACAAATATCCATGTATTCTCAAATTTAGAAATAAAGCAGGAGATATAGTTCAGTGGTAGAGTGCTTGCGTAGCATGTGCAAAGCCCTGGGTCCTATTGCCAGCACTGAGAGAGAGAAAGTTGGGCATGATGTTACATGTAATCCTAACACTTGGGAGGTAAAAACAGAAGGATTTCAATTTTAAGTATTTATTGAAGCTCTTCCTATTTAGGAGCCAGATAGCATCACTCTTTGTCCTTCACTGCTGTCTTTAATTGGTATATTACTTAACATTTTACCCTGTCTGTATATGGCAACAAATAGTAACTAGACTTTTGTGTATTTTTTAAGGCACTTTTAATATTTTTTTTATGTGTATGAGTGTATTGCCTGTACGTGTGTAAATGCACCTGTGTCATACAGTGCCCTTGGAGGTCAGAAGGTGGCATTGGATCTCCTGGAACTGGAGTAGCTGCCATGTGGGTGCTAGGAATTGAACCTCTGCAAGAGCAGTTGGTGCTCTTAACTGCTGAGCCATCTCTCCATCCCCCGTATTTTTTTAAATTTATTTTCATTTTATGTGTATGAGTGGTTATGCCTGCATATGTATAAGTTCACTTGTGTCATGCAGTGTTCATGGAGGGAGGACAGAAGAGGACATCGGAGTCCCTGAACTGGTGTTAAAAATAGTTATTAGCCACTAAGTGGGTGCTGGGATTTGAACCCTGGTCTTCTGCAAGAACAGCCAGTGCCCTTAACTGCTGAGCCATCTCTCCAGCCCCAAGTTTTATGTATTTTTTAACTTTATGTAAATTATAACCTATGTTTTTCAGCATTCAGCTTTTCTCATTTGTTAAATATCATAAAACTAAATATATTTAACTCTTGATTTATTTTCACTGTTTATGACACCTGTGGCAGTATTTATGAACCTTATATTTACAAAAAGTCCTGCTTTTTTTATCAAATGCGTGTGTTTGTGTATGTCTTATATCTGTGTGTTCATTTATGTGGGTACACATGTGTGTTCATTTGCAGGTATGTTTAGGTACATATTGAGGCCAAAAGACAACATTGGGTGTCATCCTCAAGAACCATCTACCTTCTTTGAGACAGGGTATCTTCTTGACCTAGAGTTCATCGATTAGGTTAGGCTGGCTGGCTCTTGAACCCCAGGGGTCTTCTTGTCTCTGCCTACCTAGTGCTGAGTTTACAAATGTACACCACCATCTTCTGCATTTTTACCTGACTTCTAGGGATGAAACTCAGGTCTTCATGCTTGCAAGGCCAGCACTTTACTAAGGTGTCTCACCAGGGCTTATTAAAATATGTGTGCATGTATACATGCTTTTTCTATGGTGCAGAGCTAAAAGTGGAGTAATTGGGGTTTAGAATATATACAGACTCAATTTTTACTAGACACAGGTGAATGACTCTCCAAACACTCTTGCTACCAGGTTATAGTCCCTATATTCCCAATCAGTTTAAACCTTACTCTAACCATTTACAGGCATGCTAAGTATACTCTACTACTGTGCAACCCCACCCCATCCCCCCGCCCCCCATATCTTATTATATGCTTATTTTTTGGACTTGCTTTCTTATGAATAATCTAATCATACCATCTAACCTTTTTATTTGCCAGGTATTTTCTTTTGGGAGGGAGGTTTTGAGACAGGGTCTCATGTAGTCCACACTGGCCTTGAATGCCCTATGTAGCTGCAGATGACCTTGAACTCCTGATCTTCCTGCCTCTACCTGCCAAGTGATGAAATTACAGATGTGCACCACTTTGCCTGGCCTCGTTCTAAGTTCTTTATATATTTGAAAGTCTTTTGGGTTATAAAGGTTTTAATTAAATGTTTTAAAAATATTTTTATGTGTATGAATGTATTGCTTGCATATAGGTTGGTACAGCCATGTCATGCAGTGCCCGGGAAGGTCAGAAGTGGGTGTAAGATTCCCCGGAACTGGAGTTATGGACAGCTGTTAGCCACCATGTGGGTGCTGGAAATTGAACCTGGGTCCTCTGCAAGAGAAGCCATTACTCTTAACTACAGAGCCATCTCACCAGTCCTTAATTAAATGTTTATATTAATTAAAATTTAAAATTTCCTCTGCTGTTTGTTTTGGTCTTTTTGAGACACGGTCTCCCTGAAGCCCCAGCTGTCCTGGAAGTCACTATGTAGACCAGGCTGGCCTTGAACTCACAGAGATCCGCCTGCCTCTGCCTCCCGAGTGCTGGGATTAAAGGCGTGTGCCACCGTGCCTGGCTTAAGATTTATTTTTACGTGTATGTGTAAGTATATGCTATTTGTATGCCAGGTCCCCATGGAGATGGAGTTTAGTTATAAACTGCCTGACTTTGGGTGCTGAGAACCAAACTTGGGTCCCAACTGCTGAGCTATTTCCAGCCCTATCCTCCTATATTTTAAAAACTTTTTATGACATCTTTATGCTTTCAGTATACCTTCACTATACATTTTAATGGTGATTTGAGCAAGATTTAGTGTAACAACTTAAGCCTTTCCTTTCTTTTTTTAAGATCTATTTTTATTCATGTATGCCTTTGTGTGAATCTATACTGAGTGTGTGGTTGGCCAAGGAAGCCAAGAAGGCAGGAGTCTGTGGAAAAGCAGGAAGAACTCCTAACTGCTAAGTCACGTCATCAGCCCCAATCTTTTCTTTTAAAAGTTACATTATTAAAACATGTTTTTTTAAAATGTTATTTTATGTGTATGAGTGTATTGCCTACATGTATGTTAGTGTATCTGTGTTGTGTAATGCCTGCAGAGTTCAGAAGAGGGTGCCAGATTCCCCTGGAACTGGAGTTACATAAGGTTGTTAGCTGCCATGTGGGTGCTGAGAATTGAACCCAGGTACTTTGCAAGAACAGCCATTGATCTTAACTGCTGAGCTGTCTCTCTAGCCCCAAAACATGTTTTATGCTTAACATGCCATGCCAATATTTATTTTAAGGTAGGCTCTTACTGTATAGCCTAAACTATCACCTACCTTTTGCCCCCTAAAAGACAGAAAATTTAACATAATGGCTTTAGCTTTGAGATATTACATATCCTACAGAGATTCAGAATATAAACGTCATGATCTGGCTGGTTTCAAGTCAAACTTGGTTACTTATTATGTAACCATAAACCAATTTCTTCATCTTTTTGTGATTTCATTATCTCCAGTATAAGAATACTAACTACTCTCCTAATTGGAATGTTTTGAACATTTGGTAAGTTAACACGTGTAAACTGTTTAAAATAATTCTGGCACCAGGTATGGTGGTGCATGTTTTTAATCCCAGCACTTGGGAGACAGAGGCTGGTGGATCTCCGTGAGCTCCAGGCCAGCCTGGTCTACATAGTGAGTTCCAGGACAGCTGGGGTTACAAAGAGACCCTGTCTCAAAAAGACCAAAAAGAAAAAGTTCTGGCACAGAGTAACTGCTTTAATAAACACAAGTTGTTGATATTGATTATGTAATCCTAAAAGGAGCCATCTAGGGTCACATGATCTAAGCTTTAACCTCATTTGTAAAGTGGGAGTATTAACAGTTAGTGTGAAGATGAGGGATACTGTGAATTTTGAGGCACCATTTGAAAAAAACCTAACAGTTTTTTTTCAAGGTACCTTTTAGGTAAAATTGGTTATTAAAATAATTTCTTATAATATGGCACAGACTAGGTAAGATTTAATTGAGGTCAAATTTCTGATCATTATAACTGTAGCTCTGATACTGCACTGAAGTTAGAATAGTTTTTATCTTAATGTTATTTTACATAAGTATAGTATCATTTTACTTTTAAAAAATTCTATATTCAAAAATCAACATATAGGGGCTGGAGAGATGGCTCAGCAGTTAAGAACACTGGTTGTTCTTGCAGAAGACCTGGGTTTGAATCCCAGCACCCACATGGCAGCTAACAACTGTCCGTAACTTCAGTCCCAGGGGATCTGACAGCCTCTTCTGACCTCCGCAGGCATTGCACAACACAGTGCACCTACCAACATGCAGGCAGTACACGCATACACATAACATTAAAAAAAAATAAAAAATAAAAAAAAACAACTAAAGGCTGGGCATGTATCTCAGTGGTAGAGCATTTGTCTAGCATAATCCAAAGTGCTCTTCTAATATATGGGAGTTTCTGGATTGAATCCCAGCAGCACAAAACAACAATAAAAATTAGTATTTGTTATTATATAAAAATCAGAAAATGTTATTTTCTCATAAAAAATGTTTTTATGATAAAATATTTATTGTGTGATATCTACCAGAAATTGAAATTACTAAAATTAGTTGATTACTAACTGAATGAATTTTGTACAGTTGCAACTTAAAAGATTATAAATTTCTTAGTCTTGTTTTATATACTGAGTTAATATTTACCTGGTTATCATTCCAGTAAATACAAGGTGGACTGCGCATGCCTCAAAGAAAATCCAGAGTGCCCTGTTCTAAAACGTAGTTTGGAATCCACAGAAAACATCAATAGCGGTTATGAGACCAGAAGAAAAAAAGGAAAAAAAGAGAAAGATATTTCAAAAGAGAAGGATACTCAAAATCAGAATATTACATTGGATTGTGAAGGAACAAACAACAAAATAAAGAGTCCAGAAACAAAACAAAGAAAGCTTTCTCCACTGAGACTATCAGTATCAAACAATCAGGTATTAAACTCTACTGATTCTTGAGAAAATGATATTTATAAAGGAAAATAATGTAATTTAAATCTCTTTTTAAATATAAAATTAACAATTTTTAAATTTGTTATTTTTTTCCAGAGCTGGGGACTGAAACCTAGCTAGGGCCTTGCACATGCTAGACAAGTGCTATGCCACTGAGCTGTATCCCCAGTCCTTTAGTCTGTTATTTAATGAAGTACTTAGAGGGGTGTGTGTGTGTGTGTGTGTGTGTGTGTGTGTGCACATATATATATGTATATATACATATATATATATATATATTTTGCTAGGATATGTACAGTATTTGCTAAATTATTATGAAACTAAGTCAACAAATACAACACTGGACATTTTCCTGACTGGGTAATTTAAAAAACATTCCAGATAGGACTTTCCTTATGCTCACAAGTGTTCTTATTTAAAGTCTCAAATCATTGAATCTTTCCATAAATAACTGTACAGAAGTAGTTAATTCTAGAGAGTGCCAAAATCAATAGTAAATTTAAAAAAAAATCTTTTTGAGACAGGGTCTCCCTATAGCCCCAGCTGGCCTGGAACTGACTATGTAGACCAGGCTGGTCTCAATTTCACAGAGATCAGCCTACCTCTGCCTTCCAAGTGCTGGGGATAAAGGCATGCACCACCATGTCCAGCTGTATAGTAAATATTTTTGAGAGGAACTCCATTAACACATAATGGAATAGAATTTGGCCATCACTTCTGTCCTACCTAGAAATTTTGTTATTCTCTATACATAAACAGGTACTTTTTAGGAAGGGACCATTAAAATGTGAAAACTAAGCAAAGTTTTGAAAAAAAAAATAATTTTATATGCGTGTTTTATTTTATATGCGTGTTTTGCCTGTATGTATGAATACACTGCTCACAGAGGCCAGAAGAAGGTATCAGATCACCTGGAACTGGAGTTAGTGATGGTGGTTAATCACCATGTGGGTGCTAGGAACCAAACTTGGGTCCTCTGCAATAGCAACCAGTACTCTTAACCACTGAGCCATCTTTTTTGGCCCCACAAAGTTTCTGTTCATTAAATCAGTGTCTTGTGTTCTAAGAATATTGCATTATTTATTATGTATCCCTGACTGTCCCGAACTCACTATGTATAGAGACTGGCCTTGGCAGCTGACAGAGATCCTTCTGCCTCTGCCTCTGCCTCCAAAGTGATGGAATTAAGGAATGTGGCACCATACTAAGCTCCCTTAAATTTTAAATTGAACAGTCATTAAACTCTTGATATTTACAGGTGTGGTGAAAATTCATTTTGGAATGCAAGCTAACATAAAGCGATCCCAGTATATTTGAAAGAAAATTTAGAAAACAAAATTACTTGATTGAATTTGGAAAACTTTATTTATAAAATCAGTATTTAAGTATGCTTATAATTTTATATAACTAGTTGTGGTTAAAAACATTGTGCAAGCCAGGCAGTGTGCAGCACTTGGGAGGCAGAGGCATGCAGATCTCTGAGTTCAAGGCCAGCCTGGTCTATGTAGTGTGTTCCAGGCCAGCTGGGGCTGCAGAGAGACCCTATCTCCCAAAAAAACCACACAAAACCAGTGTGCAGTTTTTGGTTTGTAGATGGAGTAATAATTTCTATAAAAAAGTCATTTTGATCTTTCAGGAACCAGATTTTATTGATGATATAGAAGAAAAAACTCCTATTAGCAATGAGGTAGAAATGGAATCCGAGGAGCAAATTGCAGAAAGGAAAAGGAAGATGGTAAGTTGGGAAGCCAGTAGTTGCTTTGTGGTACCCTTAGGCTGTGACAGCTACTCTTTGTAGAGTTAACTGCCTTCACATGTGCTTCTGTACTCCTTCAGGTTATCAAATTTGGAACACATGACATTGAACACTAAAGAATTTTTTATTTTATGTGTATGAGTGTTTTGCCTGCATGTATATAAGTACACCATGTGTGTGCAATGCCCAAGGAGGCCAGAAAATGGCACTGGATCACCTGGAACTGGAGTTAGGGACTGTTACCTGCCATGTGGGTGCTGAGAACTGAACCTTTAACCACTGAGCCATCTCTCCAACCCCAAGATTGAGCATTTTTATTTGGCTTTGTGATTACTATCTAAATACACATCACTGAATGGTTTTGTATTTTTATTGACATTTATTAGGCGTTTAAGAATGTGTATGAACCTTTAAAATAACGTTTCTGAAGTCAAGAACTGTTAATAAATTTTAATACCATAATTACTGTTCAGTATGTCTTTCATTAGGTAATTGTACCATTTCTTTTCATGATTTAAGACAAAAACAGAACCTTAAGTATTGTAATTCCATCAGGAAATGACTTAAGCAAAACTTAAAAACTCACTGTGGTTTAGTAACTGCCATTTCTGTGTTCTCACACTGTTATCTCTAAATAAGGTTTTCATTAAAATAAATGAATGCTTATATCCCTCATGATTTGTAAATATTTTGTCGGTATACACGCTAGGACAGAAATTTCTTCATAAATCAATTGTAGGGACTCAGTGCAGTGACTCACACCTATAATCCCAACATTTGGAAGGCTGAGGCAGGATTACCATAAATAAGTAAATTATAGGGCTAGGGTATAGCTCCGTGATAGAACACTTGCCTAGCTTATATAAGGGTCTGGGTTGGTCCCTGGCACCACGACCACCACAAAACAATGAAAAACAGTGGCAGTTAGCATTTAATCAAATATCTAGCCCTAACATTTGAAAATGACTTTGGCAAAATATTTGATGGCCTTAGTGTAGGTTTCCCACATTCCCTTGGTTTCCTGATCTTATTCATGCTTTATTCCATAGGATCTCATGTGTTATATGTACCTAGCACGGAGATGTTCTTAAGAAATTTGGATTTTGTAGAGCTACTTAATGTCTTTAAAATCGTGATGGTGGTAATCCTACTACACAGAGCTAAAGCATCTGACTGTGAAAGCAATACAGAAGTGTTTTGTAGCTTCAGGATCACCAAAATACTTATCTATTAAGACAGGGTAATGTTAGGAGATAGAAGAAAAACAAATATAGGTGAAATTTTAGAGTTTAGTTCCTGTTTCTAAAGGAATTATTTTGAACCCTTTGTCTTTTCTGTTTTTTAAAATTGTTTTTATTTTACGTGTATGAGTCTTATGCCTGCATGTAAGTGTACCCATGTCATGCAATGCCCATGGAGGTCAGAAGGCAGCATCAGATCCCCTGGAACTGGAGTTATGGATGGTTGTTAGCTGTTATATTGGTGATGGGAATTGAACCCAGGTCCTCTGCAAGAGCAATCAGTGCTCCTAACCACTGAGCCATCCCTCCAGCCCTCCGGAACCCTTTTTCAGGATTCAGTTATACCTCAAATTATCTGTACCCAGTCACCTAAATGATTTTCAGTGTTGTCCTGTCCATTCTTTGGATTTATATTACTCTTGTAGAAACTTTTAGATCAGTTTACATCAGAGAAGTTTTTTGTTTGGGCTTTTTACAATCAGCTTTAAGAACTGTAGCAGCCAGCTGGGAGTGGTGGAACATCTCAGCACTTAGAAGGTAAAGGCAGGAGGATTAGTAGTTCAAGATCATCCTCTACTACATAGTTCAGGACTAGCCAGGTCTACATTTGACACTCCCTCCCCTGCCCCCTTCTCCCTTACCCTAAATTTATTTTATTTAGTTTTGGTCTTTTTGAGACAGGGTCTCCCTGTAGCTCCAGCTGGCCTGGAATTCACTATGTAGACCAGGCTGGCCTGGAACTCAGAGATCCACCTGCCTCTGCCTCCCAAGTGCTAGAAGTAAAGGCGTGTGCCACCACGCCCCACTCCCTACCCTAAATTTAAAAAAATTAAAACTTGAAGCAACCACTTTGGGGGAAAAAATGGGTTGGCACTGGAGGTTGTTTTATTTTTGTGTAATCATTTTAATAATATAAAATTTCAATGCTAATAAAAGTGGTAGAACTTAAAACACCCGCATTTTTTTAGATCTAGAAAATTGGATACCCTTCAGTTGCTGCTAAAAAAATTGGTGGAGAAAATACATGCATTTTCTAAGTTTGCTTGCAGTCTAATTTTGATTCTAATTTGCTTATGAGTATGCTATATTAGTACAGAATACTTCAGTATTTTTATTTTGCTTTTGTGACATGGTCTTATTGTGTAGCCGAGCTTGACATGTTCGATGAATAAGTGTGCTAACTGGATGAACTTAGTTAATACTACCCTATCTCCATTTCTCCATGTATGTTACATATTTCAAAACTCTTAGAAATTGTTAGCCTTATGTAAACTTTTATACTTTGCAACTTTGAGTATTGACCCCTTTGACACTCCACATTTTTATTCTGTGGAACAAATAGCCTGAGAAAACACTATTATTATCAGAATCTATGCCATTACAGAGGCATCTAGAAGTGACTTCACTTAAAGGACGTTTAGAAGTTGCATAGTTTTTTTTTTTTAACTTTTTTGTTTGCTCTTTTTGAGACAGGGTCTCCCTGTAGCCCCAGCTGTCCTGGAACTCACTATGTAGACCAAGCTGGCCTTGAACTCTGCCTCCTGAGTCCTGGGATTAAAGGCGTGTGTCACCACGCCCAGCTTAGAAGTTGCAAAGTTTTAATATTAAAGTATAAGGGTAATCTGTTGCCAGGAAAATTACCTGATGATAGAAGTGTAGTATCTAAGTAGCCACTGTTCTCTCCTTATAGGATGAGATGAAATGGATGCTGATTAATACTTTTCTAAGTTTCACTTATCCTGTAGATTAGAAAATTTTCTTTCTAAAGCTAGCATGGAAAAACTGAACAGTATGTTTATTTTTATAAACATTCTGTTCAAACAAAATAAGGTGGCTATGCTTTAGCTGCCTTATAGTAAATAAAACCTTTAAGTGCTTGTTATATAACAGTGATATATGCTTTACAGAATAATACACAGTTAATTGGTACTCATTTAACAAAACTAAGTGCTTCACACTGGGGTAGGGTTCACTTAAGTAACTGAATATAGAAGACAGAGCCACTGCTCTGGAACAGCTCTCAGAGAGAATGGGATGCAGCAAATCCTGAATGTCATGAAACAGGACTGAGAGTGCACCCAATTGTCATATAACAAAGGAAGATATGACACAAGCAATGCTTATTATTTTGGAATGGTTTTTATTGATAACAATCTTACCCATCTTTAAACATGTATGTCTCATTAGTGGCTGTTTGAAAGGGGGTTGGGGAAGCTTTTTGTTTTTAACATGTATGAGAGTTTTGGCTTGCATGGTCCATCATGAGTCTTCAGTGCCAGCAGAGGCAAGAAGAGGGAGTCATATCCCCTGGAACTGGAGTTTCAGACAGTTAGCCACTACATGGGTGCAAGAGTAGCCACTGTTTTTAACCACCGAGCCATCTCTCCAGCCCCTAAAATGAGTCTTTATGGTTCCTTAAGTTAGGGTACTTTAGTGAGTTCTGGTTTTGATTCTTCTTTCTTTTATAGGCTGTTTAGGTTTCTCAATGTTAAAATGTAGGAATATTTTGTTACTAAGATACTTTGAGACCATGGATACTGAAACTGAGGAGCGCAAAACTGCAGAAAAGGGGGAATGTTTTTGCTCAAGACTGGAAGACAGCAAGGATGTGGTTTCTCCAGGTCCAGCTCTTGCCCCTGTATGCTGGCTTCCACATAACCAGGAACACTGCTCTCGGGGTCTGGGGACCTTTTTTTGTTTACAAAAACCCCCTTAGTAGCAAGGCAGAAAAGCAAACCCAGGAGTATATGAAGATTTCTTCTTTTACAACTCCCAATTTACCTGTGAAGCCACCTGTGGCATTCACAAACTCATGGGCTTATATTTAGCTGTTTGAAAGTACCAGATTTTCTGTAATGAATTACAGTTTACTCAGTGAAGTTTTTAAATATTTTTTATTATTTTTATGTGTATGAATGTATTCCCTACATGTGAGTGCACCCGCGTCGTGCAGTGCCGTAGAGGTCAGAAGAGGGTGTCAGATTCCCCTGGAACTGAAGGATGGTTCGTAGCTGCCATGTGGGTGCTGGGAATTGAATCCGGGTCCTCTGGAAGAGCAGTCAGTGCTCTTAACTGCTAAGCCATCTCTCTAGCCCCTGAAGTTTTCTTTAGTTGCTGTGTTACAGAACATTTTCATTCTTGTTATTGAGTAACCCTTGAACTAGAAAGAATATTGGGCTTTCTAAATCAGGAAACTAAGTTGAAATTATATGACAGGAATAAAGCACGTGCCACAGTCTGACCACCTAAGTTCCATCTCTTGGATTCACATGGTGGAAAAAACTGACCACCACACAGCACCATGGGCATCACCCCCCACCCCATACACATACACACACACACACACACACACACACACACACACACTCTTAAATTTTTTTAATTCCCAGAGTAACCATACCTCGTGATATTACAAAGCAGACCTTTTCTTATGCTGATAGTAAATGATAATGCTCTGAATTTAATGTTAAGAGTGATGTATAGGTAAATCACATGAAATACCCCACATACTTTAGTGTAACACTTAAAGCTCCATGATACCAGTATTATCGAATGAAGATCTGAAGTGGAATCTGTCAGCTACCCAGCTCACAGACAGTAGCTTTGAGTTCCAGACAGAGCCATGGCTTGTAATGAATCTACTCACTGAATATGCATCTTATACCTGGCTATGTGTCAAAAAATGCATTGGATGCAATGGTGAATATTGCTGAAGACACAGGAACTTAAAGGAATTTGCTAATGGTTTTTATCCAAGTAGGGAATCATTTGCATTCTTAAACATATGCTTGTTTTTTCATCAGAGCTGGATTAAATATATTAGGAATCCATTTGGTGCTTTCCTTGGGTGCCTACCTAGTGGTTGAGTTTCACACATGAAAGATTCTTTGGGGGAGAGGGGCATTAGAGTTAAATGATAACATTTGTTGAGCTTGAGGATCCTTGGAGCAGGTCACAGCCACCTGTAATTCCAGATTCAGGGGATTAGACACCTTCTTCTGGCCTCCATTGTCTCCTATATACACATGGTACATGTATATAAATTCATGCAGTCAATATAGGCAGACAGTTTAAGTCTTTGTAAGGGCTGGAGAGATGGCTCAGCAGTTATGAGTACGTACTGCTCTTCCATAAAACCTGAATTTAATTCCCAGCAAACATAGTAGGTAGCTCACAGCTCCTGCAGGATCCAGTGCTTCTAGCTTCTGCAGGCACATTATTCATTCTCTCTCTTTCTCCCTCTGTGTCTGTCACACACACACACACACACACACACACACACTAGCAGGCACATTCACTCACACACCCAATTAAAGATACAAAATAATCAAAACTGAATTCTGGTTAAGCAGATTTGTTTGTTCTGAGGAAAAAAAAAAAATTTCCCCAACTTACAAGGTAATTAACCTCTCTACTCCAACCAGGTTCAATAGGTGAAGCAATTGTGAAAATTACTTTCATGCAATGTAGTCCTCTAAATTTAGGGGTTTAGAAAAGTCATGATATACAGAGGCAGGGTTTTTATACGGGTCAAGTTTTACAGGGATTAAGTAGGGTAATTTCAAAAACTAGAGACAGGAGATTGTCTAAAAATTTGACTTTAAAATTTACAGTTCCAGGCCAGTGTGGTGGCACATGCCTTTAATCCCAGCACTTGGGAGGCAGATCTTTGTGAGTTCAAGGCCAGCCTGGTCTACATAGTGAGTTTGAGGAGAGCTGGGGCTACAAGGTAAAAAAAAAAAAAAAAAAAAAAAAAAAAAAAAAAAAAAAAAGCCAGTTCCAATTCAAAAAAAATGTGGTGGGGTTTTTGTTCTTTGTTTGGCCTTTGCTAGTGCTTTAGTGTTTTGAGTCCCCACTCCAGATCAGAAGAGCAAAGATGCAAGTGTGTATCCATGAACAAGTAATCTTACCTCTGTGGACCTTAATTTCCTATGTGTATAATAAAGAGGGTAAGGATAACATGTCACCCTGGCAGCATAGCAGTTTGTATTAAAAAATTAGAAGCTCATCAGGCTTGGTGGCACACATCTTTAATCCCAGTAGTTGGGAAGCAGAGCCAGACAGAGCTCTGTGAGATAGAGGCCAACCTCGTCTACATAGAGTTCCAGGCCATCTGGGACTGCAGGTAAACCCTGTCTCAAGATCCAAAAAAACATTTCCAGCTGAGTATTGGCACCTGTTTGTTTCCTTATTGATTATGACAAAGAAAAACCCAGAAAAGAGTAAGCAATAGTGTCGGGAGCATAGGTCTCTGAATGGTTAAATCTCTACCAATGATTACTGGAACTAAAGCTGAAACTCCAATGTTGAGAAGACTGTGGCAGCCAGATCTTGAGTTTCTGATCTTTCTTTCTTTCTTCCCCACATCGATGACAATGAAGGAGGAAAGACAAATGGATCTGAGCCTCAGGACCTGGTTCTTTCATTTGGAGAACTGGACAGTTGATGGACGTGCTTCCTGGTTCTGGTTGAGAGCTGAAGCATTTGCCAGGCCCTCTGGTCAAGGCTCTGGGTCTTGCTCTTAATGTTCTCTATCCAAGAGAACTGATGCTCAAAGGAACTCTTGCTGTTCCCTCAGCCCCTGTCTTGAAGTGTCAGTGTAAGAAAGGAAGAGCAGAAGGTAGAGGAATGCCTTAAAAGAATTGTAATGGAGGGAAAGAGGGCTAAAGTAGAAATGATAGTTAACATTTATGGAATGCCTACCATTTTTCCAAGTACTGTTTGAAAAACCTCACATTTTTCTATTTGAACTCAGTAACAATCCAGTGAAGTGTAAGTATCATGTTGCACATTTTATAATCTCATAAAGGTTAAAAGTAATTTACGAGGATGAGGGAGACATTTTAAATAACTGGTAGAATTATGATTTGAACCTAAGACAATATAGCAATATCAACTCTTTATTGCATACGAATTTTCCCTATTCAACCTATCATTTCCTTAGGAATTTTGAATCTTTTTTAAAAGGCAGGCTTCTTAAAAAAGATTTTTGGTTTGGTAAAATAAGGCTCTTTTCTTTTGCTTTATCATTACCATTACCACTCACACAAATGCTCCTTTCATAACACATATTTGTAATAATGCTTGGGATTCGAAAGCATGTTGAACAACTACAAACTTTCTCCCATTCCTACCAGCTATAGGCTTACTGTGCTAATAGTATCATAGCAGTTGCTTTTTAAATTTGGCATTAACAATTGAACTTTAAATTTTTTACTTTGGAATAATGTCACCTCAAATTTAAATTCCATAGACAAGAGAAGAAAGGAAAATGGAAGCAATTTTACAAGCTTTTGCCAGACTTGAAAAGAGAGAGAAAAGACGAGAACAAGCTTTGGAAAGGATCAGCACAGCCAAAACTGAAGTTAAGCCTGAGTGCAAAGACACACAGATTGTCAGTGATGCTGAAGTTATCCAGGTATTATCATTCATGTCCTCTTTCATTTTCATATTTAAATCCCTTAAACTAAAATTTCTGCAAACATTAGTTACATCTATAAAGAATGTTTTTAATTTTAAAAAAATATTGTCTTTTAATCTTTTTGAGATACGGTCCCCCTGTACCCCCAACTGGCTTGGAACTCACTATGTAGACCAGGCTGGCCTTGAACTCAGAGATCTGCCTGCCTCTGCCTCCTGAGTGCTAGGATTAAAGGCGTGTGCCACCATGCCCGGCTTAATTTAAAAAATGAATTTGTGTATGGTGCAGTGCATGCCATGACACACATGTGGAGGTCAGAACAGCTATGTGAGTCAGTTCTGTCCTTCCATTAGATGGGTTCTAGGGATCACATTCAGGTCTTTAGGCTTGTACAGCAAACACTTAACTCACTGAGTCATCTCACCAGTTCAAGAATTTAATGTCTGATACTAGCTTTTTAGGGCATTTTTTAAAAGTCCTGTGGGAAATTTAAAAGGTTATACAGGCTCTAAGAAAAATTTTAAATTATGTGTTGGTTTGTTATTAGAATTCATAAATTTTGGACCAGAAAGATGGCTCAGTGGGTAGAGCTGCTTGCCACAAGCCTGACAACCTGAATGAAATCCCTAGAGAACATATGTGGTGAAAAGAGAGAACCCATTTCCTCAAGTTGTCCTTTGACCTCCACACATGCAATTGCATGTGCAGACACATGCAAAATAAATGAACTTTAAAAAAGATTTAATAGTTCCTGTCCCACTGTTGTATGTTGAACTAGGAACAAGCAAAAGAAGAAACTGCTATCAAGCCAATCCCTGCCAAAGTGAATAGAACTAAACAGAGGAAAAGCTTTTCTCGCAGTAGGACTCACATTGGACAGCAACGTCGCAGACACAGAACTGTCAGCATGTGCTCAGATATACAGCCATCTTCTCCTGATGTCGAAGTTACATCTCAACAGAATGATGTTGAAAGCACTATACTTGCTGTAGAACCGGAAATGGAAACTGCAGTAGCAGAAATAGTTACTGAAACTGAAGTTCCAGCACTTAACAAATGTCCCACAAAGTATCCCAAAACAAAGAAGGTATGATTGACAGTGAGAACTGTTTCCAACAAGACTCACACAATAGTTAAACTGGTATCCTAAGAATTCAATCTGCATCTCCTAAAATGAACTAAATAAGAAGCATTTTTTCTATTTTCAGATAGAGAAGTGCCAAACTGTCAAGTGAGTTACTAGTTTGTATTATGAAGATTCAATACATGAAAACATTCAGCATTAAAATAATGCTGTGTATAAAATGTACATTTCTCTGAAACAGTTTTAGCATAGTTCCCCTCTCCCGTGCCTAGGGATCTAATCCAGGTCTCATGAATGCAAGGCTAGCAACCTACCACTGAACCACACCCCTTCTTTACTGTTTGTATATTTTCCAAATTTGATTATGTAGGTAGATTCTAAGAATTAAATGAAAAGAAACTTATTTCAGTAGAATGTACTAAGATTAAGAATTCAAAGAAATGTTTATAGTTATTTTTGTATATGCTCATGCCACAATGCACATGTACTAGTCAGAGGACACCTTGCTATGTGGATCCTGGGGATCGAACTCAGGTCATCAGGCTTAGCAGTAAATGCCTTTTTGGAGTCATCGCACCGAAAGTGGATATTTATAAAGAAGATTAGTTTTAAAATTCAACTGACAAGCTTTTCAGCTAAAAAATAACCTTAGAGGTTGCCGTTTTTCTCCTACTCTGAATAAAACAAGAGTGCAGTTGAGTAGACCGATAGTACCAAATAGCAGTCACACACATTTCTAACAAGGCACTTTAAAATACCATTTGCTTTGTCTTTCTTCTCAGCTAATTCCATACAGTGTATAGGCAGGCTGCTAAACCATGGAAAGTATGCTGAACATAATTTTAGTGTGAGCGAAGGATTAGACATTAATGGCAGAGGCCAGTTTCCTTGCCAGAGAGTCATGCATTTCATTAGAGGGATCTCTAATGTTTCACTCAAAGCTTGTATGTTGTTACTGTATCACATAACTTAAGCTAATACTTGCCATCAATAGTAAGTGTAACAACACAATGAAAAGAGAAAAACTACAGTTATTGTGAAAATAAATACTCATGTTTTGAGATATGAAACTTTTCTCAATTACAAATGTCACACAGACCCTATGTTTAATCATTAAACACTAAATTGTTAGTGTTTGTTTAAACCGATAGCTCCTTTGGGGGCGGGGGAGTGTCTTCTTGCATCCTCTTGATGTAACTGTAGGTAAGCCCTGTATCTTATTTTCTGGGGAAAAAAAAAAAAAAAAAAAACCCTCTTTGGCCTGTAAGTTTTGTTTATAGTATTATTTTTCATTACTACAACACAGTTTGTCATTTAGTGCCAAATTATTATGATTTCCCCCTAAAGATGTCATTCCATTTAATAATATATAGAATTTTATTGTCCAACAAAAGTATTTTTTTATACAGGAAAAGAAATAAAAAATGCAAAAATGTTTAATGGTGTTTACCTTTGGAAGATAGGATATGTGTTTGTATATGTATGAATTTTTGTGTGAATGCACATATACTTTTTTTCTAGAAGTTACATTAAAAATATAAAAATCAAAAGAATTATTTGCTAACTAGATAAACGTATGAATGCCTGACAGCAAAAAAGAAAAAAAAAAATCCTAAATAACGAGGTTTGAGGTTTTTAAAAGTGAGTAATCATACTTCAGGACCAGGCATATTCAGATAGCAGACACTACATCATGAGGGCTGGGGTGTGGCTGAGTGGACAAGCACTTAAGGCCCTGGGGTTCCATTCTAAGCACTAGAGGAAAATAAACAGGATTATGTACATTGTAGATTAAAGAATAATCAGAACAAAAGGATGGTAAATTTTCAAAAGGAGAGATCTTTAAGAGATATTTCAAAAGACTGTCAATATGGACACACTTATTTTTCCATGTCTGTGCACTGACCCTATCTCTAAGAGATTTTGATGACCCCCCTGGTTAGAAAAGCACTACTTAAGGGGCTGGAGTTATGGCTCAGCAGTTAAGAGCACTGGCTGCTCTTGCAGAGGACCTGGGTTCGATTCCCAACACCCACACGGCAGTTAACCACCATCCTAACTTCAGTTCCAACAGATCCAATGCCCTCTTCTGAGCTCTTCAGGCAATACATGACAACAGGTACACTTGCACGCACGCAGGCAGATATACTCATATACATACAATAAAAAATAATAAAAGCACCATTTTAAAAAATCAGGTTTTTCCTAAACCAAATAAATTTATGTGTATATTGTAAAACAACAAACCTAAGTTGCTTATGGTATTGGTATCTCCTAGATTTTTACCATATCAAAAAAAAGTCCCTTTTTCCTCTTTCTCTCTCTCCTGTTTCCTGAAGTTCTGTCATGGTGTTTGACATCCACCATTTCTTCTGTGTCTAGCTTGTTGTCCCTCCCCTCTCTTTCTAATGTTACATAGTTCTGGATGGACAGGTACTTACTATGTAGCCAAAGCAGGCCTCAAACTTGTGGCAATCTTCCTGCCTCAGCCTGGGATTGTAGGTAATGTACCATCACAGTCTGCCAAAAATTAGTCTTTATGTAATATAAATTTTGTGAAAGTACTGATGAATTTTGCCCCTATAAAATTTGTTACATAAAAACGCTCAGAGTAACGGTAAATAATTTTTTTTGACCATATAATATGAATAATTTAAAGCAAAGGTTTTTTTTTGGTTTTGATTTTTTTTTTTCTTTTTTAAAGTGTGTATGTGTGTGTCTGTGCACATTGAGTGCAGGTGCCCGTGGAGGTCAGAAGCCTGCCCCAGAGCAGGAGTTACAGGCGGTTGTGAGCTTCCTGACATGGGTGCTGGGAACCGAACTCAGGTCCTCTGCAAGAGCAGTATGTGCTCTTAACTGCTGAGCCATCTCTCCAGCCTCATAACATTCACCCAACTTACTGTTTTAAACTATGTACCAATAGCTAATCTGATATTAGAATATTCTATAATGGAATCTGTGCAATTACTATATAGTGATCCAAATGTTTCTGTTCTCTAGCACTTGGTCAATGAATGGTTAAGTGAGAAGAATGAGAAGACAGGAAAACCTTCAGACAGCCTTTCAGAAAGGCCTCTGCGCATAACTACAGATCCAGAGGTGTTAGCTACACAGCTCAATTCTTTGCCAGGTCTCACTTACAGTCCCCATGTATACTCTACTCCTAAGCATTATATTAGATTTACATCACCATTCCTTTCGGAAAAAAAGAGAAGAAAAGAACCTACTGAAAACATTTCTGGCTCATGCAAAAAGGTAAACTTTTCTTTGGATATAAAAATCTAGGAGAAGCCAAATGCAAATCTCAGTCCTACAATTCCTGACAATGCAATGCTTTTGTAATCGGCTTTGCGTTTATGGGCTACATAAATAGCTACAAACTGATCCTTATTCATTTATTTTCTGTTTTATTCAGCGATGGTTAAAACAAGCTCTAGAAGAAGAAAATTCAACAATTTTACATAGGTATCATTCACCTTGTCAAGAAAGATCCCGAAGTCCTACTGTTAATGGTGAAAATAAAAGTCCACTACTATTAAATGATAGCTGCTCCCTTCCAGGTAGTATTTCTTTTCAGTAATGTTTTAGTGGGAGGAATGTGGCAGGGAAAGGGGAGCTTTTAACACGCAGAAGCTGATCACTGCTGTGTACTAGAAGAGAAGCACACTATTACATATTTTCTCATTTGTGACTGACATAAAACCTCAATTTGAAATACAATGTATGTTGAGGTTTAGTGAACTTTTAGAAGCTTTGGGGCTAGGTACTTTGACATAGATTCAAAAGGATTCTTAGAAATCAGTTACAGTAACATCAGTACTTGTAAAATTTGTGACTTCTAGGCTTGTATGCTTCAGGCAAGATAATATTTGTTCACACTGAACTTTTGGGTTGTGGGAGTTGGGGACCAGTCCATGTTAGTACCATTTTTTTTAAAGATGTAATTCAGTTTGGGGGTAAAAGTCATTGTAATTACTACTGCTGATATTATAGTAAATACCAACAGTATAATTTCTTATAGATTATTATTTCATCAACAGATTTAACTACACCACTAAAAAAACGAAGACTTTACCAATTGCTAGATTCTGCTTACTCAGAAACCTCCACCCCTACTCCTTCACCATATGCTACACCAACTCACACAGATATCACTCCTACGGACCCATCATTTGCTACTCCTCCACGGATAAAGTCAGATGATGAAACTTACAGAAATGGTTATAAACCCATATATTCACCAGTTACCCCAGTGACTCCTGGTACACCAGGAAACACCATGCACTTTGAGGTAAGAAATTTCAGTGGGGAAAAAATGTCTATCCCTGGGAATAGATGTTTTAAGGTTTTCTCGGTGGTTACTCCCTCTCCCAGCCCTTTTAACTAGTATGGTGAGAAACTATGAGAAAACTGGGAACCTACAAAAACTTAAACGTTTTCATTTTTGTTAGTATATATATATCAAGTTGACCTTAAACAAGTGTCTTCCTTAGGAAATAGAAATAAAGTTTAAATCCAGTCTATGAAGAAGTTGTCTTAGTTTTTTGTTTTTCTTTCGGTTCTTTTTTCAGACAGGGTCTCAATATGTAGCACTGCCTAGCCTCTGCCTCCATCCTGAGTGCTAGAATTAAAGGCCTGTGCTACCATACCCAGCCAGTTTCTCATTTTGTTTTCACTTCTACATACATCATAGACTTAGCTGTATTTTAATTTTGCTCATTTTTTTTTTATGTAGAATATTTCTTCCCCAGAAAGTTCTCCAGAAATAAAGAGACGCACTTATAGTCAAGAGGTAAGGGGTTATAAAGAAGGGGTAATTTTCTTCAATATTATGTTCCTTAAATTACTGCTAGATATTAAACGTTCCTTAAATGTTATTTGTGTGATTCTCCTGTCCCCGACTCTCAACAGGGATATGACAGATCTTCAACCATGTTATCATTGGGGCCTTTTAGAAATACCAGTTTAACTGAGCTGGGCCTACAAGAAATAAAGACTATTGGTTATACCAGCCCTAGGAGTAGGACTGAAGTCAACAGGCCTTGCCCAGGAGAAAAGGAACCTGTGTCAGACCTTCAACTGGGACTTGATGCAGTTGAGCCAGCTGCCTTACATAAAACCATGGAAACAATGGCCCATGACAGGACAGAACCCAACAGCCAACTGGACTCAGCCCACTCTGGACGAGGCACAATATATTCTTCCTGGGTAAAGAGTCCTGACAGAACAGGAGTTAACTTCTCAGTGAACTCCAACTTGAGGGACTTAACGCCCTCGCATCAATTAGAGGTTGGAGGAGGCTTCCGAGTAAGTGAGTCAAAGTGCCTGATGCAGGATGATACTAGAGGCATGTTTATGGAAACAGCTATGTTTTGTACTTCTGAAGATGGGCTTGTCTCTGGTTTCGGACGGACTATTAATGACAATTTGATCGACGGGAGTTGCACACCCCAGAATCCTCCACAAAAGAAAAAGGTTACAACAATTTATAGTCCTTTTAATTTTTTTTTTTTAATTATGCTGCTCTTATGAGTAACTGATAGCTACAGTATATATCATGTAAGGTATTCTTAGTTATGCAAGTTAAAGTTTTTATGTATATATTTTAAAGCCTTTTATAATTAGATGAAAAAGTCCTTCAGAGATAGAAACCTCAAGATTTATTTCACCAGAGTAACTTTAAAAATAACCACTCTTACAACACAAGAAGTTGGTAATATCTGTGGTTCTTATTAGCCTTGTTAGCTCATAATACTTAATATAGGCCATGGCTATACGGGTATTTTGGAAAGTATGACACTGATAGATGAAATTCTGAGACAGTTAGAATGCCTTATTCTACAAGAATGAGAGAAACAGCAGCACTTAATTTGTTAATAGGCTCACTGCTATGCAAGTCAAAGCATTTTAGTGATGTGTGCTTTTAATTTTTATAACAGAATCCAGTTGGCAACTTTGTGGGAAGCAATGTAGTATAGTGGAAAGAGCACGGGCTTTCAAATAAGACCTAGGTTCGAATCCCGGCTCCAACACTCACCAGCTGTGTGACCTTGAGTGAGTGAGTTACTCAATTTCCTCATATGTAAAATGGGGATAATAATATACCTATCTCTTAGGGTTGTTGTGAAGAGTAAATAAGATAATGTATGTAAATCATCTAAATATAATGCCTATCACATCGTAGGCATTTGTTAGTTATTTTATTGAAAATCCAATTATTTTATAATTATCCTAATATAAATGTAGCAGTATTCTTTAAGAAAAAATAAATTGATTGTGACACATAAAACAGATAAGGCTTTTCTTTCTTGTTTAAGGTTTCTCTATTAGAATACCGCAAGAGACAACGTGAAGCCAGGAAAAGTGGTTCTAAGACAGAAAACTTTCCTCTGGTTAGTGTGTCACCTCATGCAAGTGGAAACCTAAGCAGCAATGGTGATGGGTGTGCCCACAGCAGCGAAAATGGGGAGCAGGGAGAAAATCCATCTGGCCTGCCTTTACCACCGCCAGCTACCACTTACAACACCTCTTCCGAAGAAACCAGCAATAATTGTCCCGGCAAAGAAGCTGCTGCCAGTGAGAAGAATGACCCAGAAGTTCAGTGGTAAGCTCCTGAAGTGTGTCACTGGGTAACCAAAAACCTTACTAATGGACTACCCTCCCTGTGTGTAGTGTGGGGAGGGTTATCAATGGTTTGTGGCCATAATCTAGAAAGATCATTGGTGGGAAGTTCTTAAATAAGCTATAAATCTGTTTGCCTATGCTACAAAGCTGCACTGTGTTTCCCCATGCTAATTTTTCACTTTATCCATGCAAATGTTTGTCCCTGAAGAACTTTTTATCACAGCCAACATCCTACAGTTTGTTTACAACCTCTGCCAGTTATCTTGGATGAAGAACAGGTTTAGTTTCTTCAACAAGACAAAAGCAGTTACATTTAAGATGCATCTTGGCAAAGTGGCAAAAGGCCACATTTACTCTGCTTTGTGGTCACCCTACCCCTTTGAATTTAAAGTTTTGACACAAGGCAATTTGTTAGGGGTGTATTTTTGCTGCCTTTGGGAACATGATGTGAGCTTACGAATGTTAACACACTACTTCCCTCTTCTTCCTTCCACTAAGATATTGCCAGAGACAGATTATACTTTAAGAAAACAGGCATAATGTATGTTTGGAGAGTGGTTAGCTGTATCAGACAAGCTATTTTCAAAGCTTATACCACAGTGTTTTCCCAGTACAGCAAAATCCATCTGAAAGGACATGTTGCCTATCAAGAGACAAGAGAATAATCTAGCTGGCAGTAGCTTCTTGACTTGAGGATGTAATTTTATTTTAAAGGACTGCCTCTACTTCAGTGGAACAAGTGAGAGAAAGAAGTTATCAGAGAGCTTTACTCCTCAGTGATCACCGAAAAGATAAAGACAGTGGTAAGTGTGCTTGTTTCTCCTCCACAAAGTGAAGCTGGCTAGTCACTGCTCTCCAGGAGCGCTAATGTTCTATTTGGGTCTGCTCTGCTTCATCTCTAGGGGGAGAGTCACCATGTATCTCATGTTCACCGAGTCATGTGCAGTCTTCACCTTCATCTCATTCAAATCACATTCCCCAGGTGCACACTAAGAGCCTAGTCCCTTTCACTGAACTTATGGCAGGTCAGTAAGCAAATGACCTATCATAGATAAGAAAGTTTTCTGAAAAGTTTAAGAAATATAATGTGCACTGCTTATGTTAGTAACAGGCAATATTCATCATATAATTTTATATTTACTATAGGTTTCTTCTGCTTTACAGACCCTGATCCTGAAAATCCAGAACCCACAACTACAAATGAATGTCCATCCCCTGACACTTCTCAAAACACTTGTAAAAGCCCTTCAAAAATGAGCAAGGTAATAACATTGACCTTTAAAGTGTGGCCATTCACAAAAGCTGACAGTAATATACAGACAGATTTTTTTTTCTGCTCTATCAAGTATTAGTTTGTGATTGCTGAACACTTCTTACCCAACCTAATCATGTTTACTGTTTATTCATTACTGGGCTGAATTGTGACAAACAAGTCTGACCAAACAGTCAAGTTTTCTAGGTGCCTATCAACAGCTAACACTTTTCCCCTGAAGTTCCACTTCTATTTTCATGGTCACTTATCTGAGCCCTTATAAAGTGAAAAGTGTTTTAAAAGTCTAAATGACATGTAATTTATCTTTAGTTGGATAAAGAAATTTGAGTTATAAATTCAAAACCTGGGAAGTATTTAAGGCTGCTAAAGTCCTAATGAGGATAAAATACTGGTGTCTGCTTGAAGATAAGGCAGATGGAAGACAATCATCATTTCCTTGGGTTATCCTCAACAAAAGCTCATATATTCCAAGAACTTCGGGAATGTACTAGAAAAAAAAACAAAACCTCACCTTTCAACAGCTTGAGTTTTTGTACCTCTGTACTTACCCTACACTGTATATATTCAGACTCCTCTCACTTCCTGTCCTCCTTTAAAATGACCCAAATAACATTAAATACCAGTAAGAGTAAATTCCAAGGTACCTAAAGTGTTTATATAAATATATCAAGTTTATATGATTTGTTTTCTCTTCATAGCCTGGTTCACCGGGACCGGTAATTCCTGCTCAGTCACATGGGAAAATACTCACAAAACCAGATTCTTACTGGGAGACAACAATTACTGTTTCAGAAGCTGAGAACAGCACTCACCTAAAAACAGAGCTCCAGCAAAAACAGCTATCAAATAACACCCCAGCACTTTCAAAGAACCATCCTCCTCAGTCCCATGTTCGCAATGCAACCGAGCAACTCCCACAAAAGCTGCCTTCTGCACCAACAAAGTTGCACTGTCCTCCATCACCTCACATAGAAAATCCTCCTAAGTCCTCCACGCCTCACACACCTGTGCAGCATGGTTATCTCTCACCAAAGCCTCCTTCACAGCAGTTAGGATCTCCCTTCAGGCCTCATCATTCCCAGTCACCTCAAGTTGGAACTCCTCAGCGAGAGCCTCAGAGAAACTTTTATCCAGCAGCACAGAACCTTCAAGCCAATACTCAGCAGGGAACTTCTGGAGCATTATTTACACAAACACCCTCAGGACAATCTTCAGCAACATACAGTCAGTTTAGCCAACAAAGTCTCAACAGCACCGCACCACCCCCTCCACCCCCTCCACCTCCTTCTTCTTCAACTTACTATCAAAACCAGCAGCCCTCTGCAAACTTTCAGAATTATAATCAGCTAAAAGGTAGCCTTTCCCAACAAACTGTGTTTACATCTGGACCAAATCAAGCACTTCCTGGCAGTACAAGCCAGCAGTCAGTTCCCGGACACCATGTTACTCCAGGGCATTTTTTGCCCTCTCAGAACCCTACCATTCACCATCAGACTGCTGCTGCTGTTGTGCCACCCCCACCTCCGCCGCCACCTGCTCCAGGACCACACCTTGTACAACAGCCAAATTCGCATCAGCAACATTCTGTAGCACATGTAGTCGGGCCAGTTCATGCTATCACCCCTGGGTCACACATTCATTCTCAAACTGCTGGACACCATTTACCACCACCTCCTCCACCTCCTGGTCCTGCCCCTCATCACCATCCACCACCCCATCCCTCCACAGGACTGCAAGGTCTACAAGCACAACACCAGCATGTTGTAAATTCAGCACCCCCTCCTCCTCCACCTCCTCCTCCAGCCAATGTCTTGGCTTCTGGGCATCATCCAACATCAGGTCAAGCCTTACACCACCCACCTCATCAAGGACCTCCACTTTTTCCTGCAAGTGCTCATCCAACTGTACCACCGTATCCCTCACAAGCCACACATCACACCACTTTGGGACCGGGACCCCAACACCAGCCTTCTGGAACAGGGCCACATTGTCCATTACCCGTTGCAGGTCCTCATCTCCAGCCCCAAGGACCAAACAGTATTCCAACACCTACTGCTTCAGGGTTCTGTCCTCATCCTCATCCTGGCTCTGTGGCCCTGCCACATGGGGTGCAAGGACCTCAGCAGGCATCGCCAGTGCCTGGACAGATTCCAATTCACAGAGCACAGGTGCCACCAACATTTCAAAACAATTACCATGGTTCAGGGTGGCATTAAAATGGACTCAAACAACATTTTTTAAAATGTTCTGTAAGATAAACTGTATATTTCATATGTACCTATTAAGGTACTTTTTAAAGCTTGTACATGAGACTTTGTATAAAAACAAACAAACAAACAAAAAAAAAATTACCAGTGCTCTTTCATTGTATTTTTCCCATTTTTGCTTTTTAAAATTCCTTAAGAAATGTGCTCTTAAACCAGTAGTGAGTATCTTTATTTTGTAAGTAACATTCCAGCTGTTTTTCTGGCAGTAGATCTGATGCTACATGATCTTTAAATTGTATTGTTGCTGTCAAACTCATTTAGTGAATATTTTCTATATTTTATACATATGCATTAAGTACACAGCTAAAGAAAGCACTATGAGGATTTTCTTTTTTTTTCCTTTTTTTTTTTGGTCAGCAATTCTGTGAGTGCATCTTGGGTCTAAAAATGCAATACAGATTTTTATAGTTTGGTGTGGACATGGCTCATTTTGTTTTATCAGTTATTTGCAAGCAAAATGTAATTTAATGTATAGATGATTTCTAATGTCTCTTGACTGTAAATACTGCATTTCTTTTGCATATATAATTGCTTCCAGCTTTTTTCATTTGATATATAGCATTGTACATATGACAAGTCTTTTGCAAAACTGTGTGATCTTTGTGAAAGTAGTACAGTATATGACCCTTTTTTATTTTAAATATACTGTCACATTGAAGCACTGGTTGGGCATTTTAATTCATGTTAATAAATCACAATTATGTCAGTTTTACCAAATTGTTCTGTACAACTTCTAAAATGGAGGTCTGCTTAATGATTTTACAAAAGTTACAATTTTCAAATATAATTTTTAAGGCAAGAACCTTTCATTTTCTTTAGCAACTACTACCTCAGTTTAATGGTAGGCCACTGCTAAAGGCAATAGTAAGTAAGGGGCTCCCACAAATGGTTTCTACTACTTGCCCTTTTTATTCCCAGGAGCAAGAGTCACAAGAAATTAAGCAGTAGTACTTTGTAACTTTACTTATTAATAAGTATCTAACAGCATATAAAATTAATCCGGACCACTAATGTATTACACACAATATACTTAAAGATTGCAATTTATAAGTTTTTTGAAAATCATTTGCCTAAAGTAGGAATATTTAATTTGCACACTTTAGAATATGACTGAAATGCCCCACTAATTAATTACTAATCAGAACCGATATGAAAACTGTGGGTGCTTAATATCTAGCTATATAGGGTACTTTTTAATCATGAAAAATATATTTCTTTAAATTTTGTTTCAGTCAAAGGAAAAAAGGCATAGTTCTAACTTTTGAAAAATGTCTAGCCTTTGCCTTCTACCTCTCAGGAGTACTAAGTCTATCAGCAGTGACTGATGCTGCGTGATTGATGCTGCTTATCAAGATACTTTGCATCATCCAAATAATGGCACAATTTGGCCATAGTATATATAAATTTTGTGCATCAGGGGAAAAAGTAAACAGACTATTTAAAATGAATGATATTTGGTAGTAACTTAAATCATGTTTTTAAATTAAATTTCCACCTGAAAATTAGCTACTGGTGGTACATTAATATAGCTTGTGTAGGGTTTAATCCTAATCAGCTTCAAGTTTTTGAACAGCAAAGGTCAACTTTGCCATCCTTTACTTGGCAAACAAACTTCTGCTTATGTTGGTTATGTTACTAAAGAATAATGTCTGAAAAATGAATAAATTAACTGTCCTTGGATAGTTTCAAACATAGACCAAAGTTAATTAGCATGTAAAATATCAATATTCAACTCTTCCAAAGCACTATCCTCGTCACCATTTTTAAATCCTCATACATTCAAACTGAATGATAACTCTTTGATGGATACTACATACATTCAAGAAATGTCTTCTATCAAACTTTCATTTTTAAAAATGGGATTTAAGAAATACTTGAACAAGTTCTCTAATAAAAGTTCTCTACTTCTTTATCCTGTTAAAAAGTTACATATGGCACAGGCACATGAAAAAGCAAGTCCTTTTCATCTTTAAAGCCTTGAATCCCAGCACTCAGAGGCAGAGGCAGGCAGATCTCTGGCAATCAAGGCTATCTCAGGAGATCCAGGCCAGCCTGGTCTACATAGCAAGTTCCAGGCCAGTGGGGGCTATAGGGAGACCCTGTCTCAAAACAAACGAAATGAATATACCTCTTTGAAACTCTTTTAATACCCACTTTTTCTTTGGATAGTTCTGTCAATTTCCTGATAGCAGCTTCTGAATCTCTGATAGTGAAGATTTCACAGGAACTCAACTCAAATCACTGAGCTGGTGATAAGGCTCGGCATAACCAATGGTTCACCTTTAGCTTATATTTATTATCAACAAACTACCAAGAATCTGCTACAACCATATGGTACCCGATAAACAAATGTGTTCATTCTAGAAGAACTGCTTCTGTATTGTATAGCTAGGGTATTTATCATAGGATCCAACTAGTTGCTTTTCTAACATGAGCTAAATAAAACGGCAGACAAATTTCAATCAAGTGTAAAAATTCTTAAAGACATAGAAAAGACACATGTACTCTATGGTGAGTATAAGAATGTTTTCTATGGAAATTGTGACTAACAACACTGGTCTACAGCCGCATCTGTCAGAAGCTACATGGAAACCTACAGTCTCATCAGAAAAATTCATCATGCACATCTCATGAATGAGTACCACATTCTAACTCACAGCAGTATGTGATGTAATGCTAGCTCCAAAGAGGACTGTGTGTCTTATTCCCTCAGTGAATAATATTGGAAAAAAGAAATTTGAGATGCTCAAATAAAATGCAATCAGTGCATTCTGATAAAACATTGATAAAAAGGGACCATTCACATTCTGGATGATGAAGCTATACTACAGCCTCATTCCTAAATCCCTTCTGCCCCTAAAAACAAATCAGCAATTTCCTCATAGTAAGGTTTATGTATGTCCTATGACTGCAGCTGCTGCATCAGGAATGTTGACACTTCCTTTAGTTTTTGTGACACTGTACTGATAGTAAACGTATGTTCATTCTGTCACTTCAAATGACCAAGGCAATGTCTGGGAAAAAAAAAAAAAAAAACCCAAAACACTTTAATTTTTAAGACAAGTGCAAGCACCCCAAACAATGGATTATTGTTACAACACTTGTTATCTTTTCACAATCTAGTTATTGCAAAGGCATATGGATAATGTTAATGGACAAAGTCAAGAAAAACGAGGCACCTTAATGTAAAAAATTTTTTTAAAGACATTAAAACCACTGACTTCTAAAAGAGGCTAAATATACCTCTATATGTTACATTCTAAAGTTGTATTGCCTACTAATGTTGTATCCTGGATTCTACAATTAATTTTAAGGAAATGCATAAACTAAAACTGTACTCAACCTGCAAAGGGAAAATGATTCTCTCATGGAAAGACAATAAAAAGGCAAGTATAACTGCTGTAGCCAACATAATGAAACTGCCTATGGAATGAACATGATCACTGTTACCTTTGAGCTGTGAGGAGTATTCTGTCCACTGTGCTGCAAACTGTACAAACCACACCTTGTGTTTTAGGCAAACACAATCATGCTTTTCCAAAAATATTTTTTTTTCATTCCACACACTGAACATATTTCTCTTGTCCAATTTAATCTATGTATTTAACTTACAGTGCTAAGAAAAGGCAACACTACATTGTACTGGGCCATCACATTTTTAAAGGGAAATGACTTTTTCTTTAAAATTATTTTTAAAAATATGCAAAAATACAAATGCAACTGCTAAATTATAATGTATATTTTAGAACGAGAAGCATGTTTTTCTCCCTTTAAAGTTCCATATAGAGAATGACATCTAATCCAGAGTCACTTTGTTTAAAATCCAATGTGAATGAACTGTTATGGAATGAAAAGTTTGCACAACTTCTTGGAGCAGTGAAAATCTGCTACATGCAACTTAGGCTTAGTAGCTTTTCTGAAATCTGAGTCCCCATCCCATATTTATGGAAATTAACATTTACAAGGGTGCATTTACATATACTATAATACAGGAATGGTTTCCCTTTGCCAGAAGATAGAATTGTACATTTCCTTGCTATTTCTTGGTTCCAACTGATAATTTCTTAAGATTGTAAATTATGTAATACTTGGCTAAAATATGTCTTCATAAATAGTCACAAAACCTGCCAAAACACAAAGGGGAAAATATTTTTGTTCAAAAAAAATGACATTTGAATGTCACACAACACAAGAAAACAATGCTTAGAGACATGTTATTGTTTCCAGAAGAAAATGGTCAGTAAACTACTTAGCTGAAGACAAAGACTACCCTTCCCCAGGATCACGGTGCACAAAAAGCAAAGTGTCAAACAACAGTACCTCAAAGCAAAACAAAGGTCTGAGGGTGAAGCCAGCTCACTTGTAATCCTGTTAAAGAATGGAGCCACTGTTTAGGTCCAATGTACTGGGAAACATTTCCTAGCTCAGAATGCTATATTTGTAGAATCTGCTAAGAATTCAACCAAGGATGTCGAAGGCATTCGCCAGCTGAGGCGCGTTTTTCTGGAACCATTTCTAACATTGGGATCAGGAAATCTGTAAACTGTGCAGCATCTTCATGGGGCCAGCCATACTTTTCCACAAGTACATCAAAGAGGCTCCAGGGCTTCAGCTTGGTGATATGCCGCAGTTCTCCTATAGAGAAAGAAACATGCCAATCACAAAAACTCCAGATTCACTTAAATGATCCAGCCAAGCTCTTTGAAGTGCAACCCACTTCTCGAAAATAATGGCATCAACAAAGCAAACAAGGTTTGCCCACTAAGCAATAATCACTGAAGAATTCAATGACAATGTCTTATTCCAAGTAAGCTGGTGGATATAAATGGACTAATAGTTCACACACATAAGTTTATATTGTGCAAGTACACAGAATGTTTTCATTTCAACAAACCACTCTCACTCCAGCTTGGGTTCTTTTGCAATTGGCAAAGCTGGCTTAGAAAAACCTGCAAGATATATACTATATAAACTCCTTGTGCCATTATTTCTGCATTTTACCACACAAAGAAAAAGGAGTTTCTTTTCCCTCTAGAACATTATTAATATAGCTTCCTGTGATGGGATGGATGTCCTTTTTAATTGTGCTGGCAATATGGCATCCACTGGTTAGTTAACGGGCACATAGCATTCACGCTACGTATTTATTGTAAAGTGTAAGGCTTCAAACACAATTCCTTACAAAATTTGAAGTTGTAATTTTCAAAATGTGCTACTATAGTATAAAATGTGTAATTTCCAAAAGCTGGGCAGCTCTGACACAATAGAAAAACTAAAAGTGGCCTGTGATTTAAAAAGAAAAGTTATTTTTAAGTCAAATTGCTAAAAGTTCAGAATAACATTCACAGGAAGAACTCAATTTCTCTGTGTTGGAAATTTTTCACAAAGTAGCCATTCTTGCCCATTCTTGAATGGCCCTCAGAGTAGGCCCCTAAGCAGCTTCTAGAGATCCGGAGGGTGTACTGGCTCTGCACCAGGCCTGCATTATTGGCACATGGCCAGGTTCAAGCCCCAACACCACTCTGATGTCTCTTCACTTTCACATGTAGTCTAACCCACAAGGTAAAGATCTGTCAAGATTTACATCAAGAGAGAACCATTACTGTGCTCACAAGTCTCTCAGGAGGCCTGGGCTATTTCGCCCATTTACTCGAGCCCCTTTTAAAGCCCTAACAAAAAGAAGATAACATTCCTTACAATTACAAAAACTTAAATAGAAATGACCTGCAATCCTATCTCCAATGGCTCTTTCCTTTTAGTCTACTCTCTTCAGTGACCATTCTTAAACATTATGTCCACAGAATTACTACCATGCTATACATAAGATTTTAAGTAAAAGCTTCTAGGATGGTTCCTGGTTAAAGGAAGTAAGGTGACAAATAACCTGACTCCAATGTGAGGCCTGATGACAGAGTTGAACATTGCCTCCAGACTGGAGGTCAGATCTAGGTTTAACGAGGAAGCAGAATTATAATTTTAGCAGTGGAAAAAGGCCTATGAATAAAACAGTCTCTTAAATAAAATAGCAGGGTATTTACAACATATAACCTATGCACATTGTATACCCAACCCCACTCCCCATGTATTTTCTTGCTTCAGGTATGCACCACTATACTGTAAACTCATCTCCAGATTATAACTCTGAACATAATGAAAATGTTATATAAACACTTGTTATGTACTATTGCTTAGGAGATGGAAAAAGTACATACAGTTTTTATAAAGTATTTCTGCTCTGTGGTGGTTGAATTCTTGGATATGGAACAGGAGAAACTAAAGATGGACTGTATCACCTCCCATGAAAAGATACACTTTACTACCACAAAGGATTTAGGCCTAATGATAGGGATGAAACAAACCAATGCTGGAAGGCTATGAAAAACTATTTACAGCCAGGTATAGTGGCACACACCTTTAAATCCCAGCAATCAGGATGCAGAGACAGGCATCTCTGTTAAAGGCCATCTCGGTCTCAAAACAAACAAAACAACAAAACCCTACCAACCTATTTATGCATATATCACTAGCTACACTTTAAACCAATAAAAATGCTTACTAAGAGAAACTCAAGCAATCTCATATAAATTTTCTGTGTAAAGATGCCATCTACAATAGCAAAATACCATTTAGTGTGCAAAATAATCTTAAACACTCAAAGGTGCTGGATGCACAGGAACCCTACAATACAAGAACTGTCAACAAAGAATTAGGTAAGCGAGAAAACTGGATGATGCCAAATAAGAGGGAAAAGGCCAGTCTGGCATCTATGATTATATATATATAAATCTTAAAACTGTATTTATTAATTGGGGCGGGGGGGCAGACCAGTGTGTGTTATGGGACCCATGTGGAGGTCAGAGGACAACTTGCAGGAGTAGGTTCTCCCCTTCCACCACGTGGATTTCGGGTATTGAACAAAGGCCATCAGGCTTGGTGCCGAGTGTCTTTACCCGCTGAGTCACCTCACCAGCCCCATATGTACCAATCTTATGCTTGAAATAGTAGGATGAGGGGCTAAAGAGATGGCACAGAGGTTAAGACCACTGACTGCTCTTGTAGAGGAAGCGTGTTTGATTCCCAGCACCCACATGGCAGCTACAACTGTCCATAACTCTAGTTCCAGGGGATGCAATGCACCCTTCTGACCTCCTCCAGCATTGCACAACACAGATGCACTTATACACTTGCAGGCAATACACCCATACACATAAAATAAAAATAATAAACTTTTTTTCTTAGAAAGGATGAAATGTTGCCCTGTAAACAGTTGATGTGTTTATTATTGCTCCCTCTAGAAAATTAGCTATCAAAGCCGAGGTTCCTGAGGATGACACTCAAGGCTTTTCTCTGGCATTCACATGTTCCTATACATGCATGCATGTGCACATACACCTGCATTAGAGAGAGGGGGAAGGGGAAAGAAGGAGGAGGAGGAGGAGAAGAAGAAAAGTCATCACATTCAAGAACTTAATTTAACCTTGACAATTTTTATGGGAAAACAAAGAAGATCTCGAAGCAAGTTTAGAGATGAGATTCTCTGCTGTTAAAAGAGTTTTTATTTTTTAAAGCCCAGCCTCTAGTCTTCTTCAGAATGCTACACATCATTCAGTCTTCCCTGGATTTCCTGTGTGTGTCAGCAGTACCCTACCCACCTGGCAAAAACTCAGTAAGTCAATATGGCTCTGTCTTCCACCATCAGGCATTATTTAGAGAGCCCTCTGCACTTCTAGACTACTTAGAACCATCCTCACAGGGTCAAGGAAAACTGATGAGCTCCTCTGGAGTAGAGGCTTTGTGACAGCAACTGTATTTATCATTCCAAGTTCATTAGGGTGTATTGCAGGTACTTATACTTCTCTTGAAAGTTAAGTGATTTGTGAAGGAAATATTATCTATGAAATTACAGTATTCCAGAATTAAACACAGCAAATGAAGTTTCACCCCACAAATGAGAGAGCTATACAGGCAAATCTTAGTATGCTATTTTAGTTAATACTGGCAATTACAGCATTAACTAGGATATAAGTTAATTATGATAAAGTTTACAGTGTACATATTAAAAAGAAACTAAGCTGGGAATGGTGGCACATGCCTTTAATCCTAGAACTGGGGAGGCAAAGGAAGGCAGATCTCTGTTAAACGCCAGCCTGATCTACATAGTGAGTTCCAGGACAGCTTGAGTTACAGGGTCTCAAAAAGACCAAAAAAAGAAACTAATACATACTGATTTGAATGGAACAAATTTCTCAAAATTTTATAGCAAGTCACATAAAATTAACTAAAAATGGTATGCAAACCAACTGTAATAGAACTATAACAGAAAAGTAAATCTTCGCAGCCTTCGGATAATGCTTTCCTAGACGAGATAACTACAGTTGTGTTCTGTTTTGTTTTTCAGACAGGGTCTCCCTGTAGCCCCAGCTGGCCTGGAACCTGCTATTAGATCAGGCTGGTCTAAGACTCACAGAGATCCACCTGCCTCTGCCTCCTGAGTGCTGGAACTAAAGACATATGCCACCACATCTGGCTTGTTTTGTTTTTAAAAGGAAAAATACAAACTGGATTTCATCAAAATCAAAAAGTTTTTATTTCACCAGGCATGGTGCAACCCTTTAATCCCAGCACTGGGAGGCAGAGGCAGGGAGATCTCTGTGAGTTCTCTGTAGCCTGGTCTACATAGCAAGTTCCAGGCCAGCCAGGGCTACAAAGTGAGGCCCTATCTCAAGAAAAGCAAAATCAAAAAAGCTTGTATTTCAAATATCACATTCATGCATTCAAGAGAATCGAAAAATCTGTCCACTCGAAAACCTACACATTAACGATCTTATCAGCATTGTTTATAACAGTCCAAATGTAGAAATCCCATGTCTACCACTAATGAATAAAATGTGGTATACATCAGGCTATATATAGAGGACTGAAGTCACACCTGGTAGAGAAGCCTGTAATCCTGGCACTCAGGAGGCAGAGGGAAAAGGGTGGTAGCTCAACACCAGTCTGGCCTATATAACACATTCAAAGTCAGCCTGAGCGCCATATATGAGGAGACCCTGTCTCAAAATACCAAAGGCCAGGGATGTAGTTCAGTGACTGAATGACTTCCTAGTTTGTGTAGGGCCTATGTTCAAATGGGGGAGTAGAGTGAAGAAGGAAGAATGGGGTGTTAGATTCAAGCTACCTGTAGATGTGGATGTATCTTGAAAACATGAGGTGACAGAAGTCAAATACAAAAGGCCATAAGGGATATGATTCCATTTATATCCAGAAGAGGCAAATGAGGAGAATCAAAAAGTAGTGGTTGCTGGGGCCAAGGGTAGAAAGAATGGCGAGTCTCTACTGATGGTCACAGGTTTCATTCCGGAATAATGAAATGTTCTAAAATAAATGATGACACAGTTGTATAGCTGTAAATATACTACGAGCCACTGAATTGAACTGTACACTTTCTAAAGAATGAATTATATGGTCTGTAAATTATATCTCAATAAAGTTATTCTTTAAAAATGGACAGAGAGCATACAGCAAAATAACTGCAGAATTTCAATGTTGGCAGTGCAAGTGATTAAAAATAAGTATTTCACAGATGAGTAAATGAAGGTACACTATAGGAATAAATGGGATGACCTACACGTTGAGCATCCCTAGCATAACTAGGGATGCTCTCAGCACCCATATGTTATAGGGGAAAATTACACATTGGACCTCATATGATGTAGCAGCATTCAAAATTACCTACAGCTTTTGTGTGTTTATGTGTATATGAAATATATTCCATGTTTAGACTTAGTCCAAGCCTCAAGATATTTCATTATGTCTATACAAATATTCCATAAGCTGAGGAAATCCAAAACACTTTTGGACCTAAGCATTTCAGTAAGGGACTTTCTACTTATACAATGGAAATTACTTGGAACTGTCACAATTTCACAGCTTTTTGCATCATGTGCTACAACTTTAAGCTGAGTAACTAAAACACTAAAATCTACAATCAGCCATGTGGCCTGTGGTTTGTTTTTTGTCCCAGCACTCTGCTGTGGGGGACATAGCACTGTCTGTATGTATTCCCATCTTCCAGAAGACATTTACCTCATTTTTTCATTTATTAACTTTTCTAAATGTGTATTTTTGTTTTTAAAATATTTTATTTAATGTGTATGAGTGTATATTCTGCATGTTGTGCAATACCTAGGGAGGTCAGAAGAGGGCACTGGATCCCCTGGAACTGGAGTTACAGTTGTTAGTCACCATGTAGGTGCTGGGAATTAAACCAAAGTTCTCTGTAAGAACAGCCAGTAGCTCTTAACCCTGAGTCATCTCTTCAGCCCGTGTATGAGTGTTTTGCCTGCTATCTATATAAGTGAACATGTCTTACAATGCCTAAGGAGGCCAGAAGAGGGTGTCAGATCCCCTGGAACTGGAGTTTAAAAACAGTTGTTATAGCCACTTTTGAAAGAGATGTATCTTTGTTCTGGAAATTGTTATTGAGTATGTTAAAGCTGTAATGAAATGCTTCTTCTAAAAAGTAAAGAATAAAAAAATAGTGAAATTAAGAACTAAAAAAAATTACCAAAAAAAAAAAAAAAAAAAAAAAAACAGTTGTCAAGCACCAAATGGATGCTGGGAACCAAATCCAAGTACTCTGAAAGTATAGCCAGTGCACTTAACCGCTGAGCCATCTCTAGTCCTCACCTTATTTTGAGACAGCATCTTTCACTGGGATCTGGGGCTTACTGATTTGGCTGGCTTGCTGGCTGAAGAGCCAGCCCCAAGGATATAGTATCTCCACATCTTCAACAAGTGCACATAACCACAGAACTTTTTTACATGCTTGTGTGACACTTTACCATCTCTCCTCAATCTGCAAGCCAACTATTATTAAAGTTTTTTTTTTTTTATTAAAGGAGGGTGTAACCAAAACAAATCTAAACTGCTAAAATAAGGGCACCAAATATGTTCAAAAAGAATAGAGCATCTGGAGGGATTTTTGTTGTAGTTTTTAGACAGGATTTCATGTAGCCCAGGCTGACCTTGAACTCTTTATATAGCCGAAGATGACCCTGAACCATAATCCTCTTACTTCTACCTCCTAAATGCTAACATTATAGATCCCCAGGTTTTTCTGAGGATGAGGATGAGCATGGGAGGGGGGAGGAGGAGGAAGAGAAGGGGAAAGAGAGGATGGGGAGGAAGAAGAGGAGGAGAAAATAATCTTGGAGCATTGAGGTATTTTTAAGGATTGGTTCTACATGGGGGACTACAAATGACAACTGTTCAGAGTAAGGCCAGGGGAAGGTCAGTGAGAATATCATTAAAATTAACCACCCACACATAATACAATGTCATAACACAAACAGAAAATGTTCTTTCATAAGAATGTGATGGGCTGGAGAGATGGTTCAGCGGTTAAGAGCACTGACTAGTCTTGCAAAGGACCCGGGTTCAATTCCCAGCAGGCAGCTGGCAGCTACAAACTGTCCTTAAGACCAGTTCCAGGGGAATCTGAAGCTCTCTTCTGACCTCCGCAGCACTGCACGACACAGGTGCACTCATATACATGCAGGCAATATACTCGTACACATAAAATTAAAAAAAAAAAAAAAAAAGAATGTGATATACACAGCTCAGACACACACTATAAAGGATACCTATGGGCACCCTGATGCCCAGTCTCTAGGCCATCTCTGTTCATAATGAAAATGTAAAGAGAAGCGCCTAGGTCTTTTGTTTGGTGTCATTATTTTTGAGTGTCTCATTATGTAGCCCAGGCTGGCCTTGAACTCCTGGTTCAGGAATGAGCCGTCATGTCCAGCTGAATCTAGCTGTTCTAAAAATCACTTAAAGTCCTTTGAAAATATTTGAATACACAGACTGGTGTTTGGAGGAGGAGAGTCAAGGGGTGGAGGTCTGAAAAAGGACTAAGGGCCGTTCTCTAACAAAATTCTGAGTCCACAAATATGAAATGGTTCAAGATTATTTCTTGAGTACTTTCTTCAGCAGAATCCCCAGATGAAAAGTCTCGATAGTTCTCCATTGCTCAAATATAAATGCACAATTTCTCCTCTTGGAAGAGGATTATGCTGAAAATTAGTGTTGCATAAATACCGTTACCTTTTCTGGTGAAAAACTCCTTGGAATATTTCCCCAACATAGCGTATTTTCGAGGGACTTTCCCCAGCAGTTCAATGATCAATGCTATGTGATCTGCATTGGGAAACATTGCCAGCAAAACAGAAACACATGACAGTTTAATCAGTACACTGCATGCAGACACTACCACTGCCCGCGCAGACAGAAACAGAGCGCGACCTGAATGATCAAAAGCACAGACTTTGTCCAGGCAGCTGATTCAGAAGTCAGAGCTGGAGGGCACCCAGCTGTCCTCGGCACCAAGAAGGCGCCAGTGGACCGTGCGACCACAGCATGGGCCAAACTCAGTCTTCTGTCAACATTTACATCAGCACAGGAATTCTGCTGGGTTGCTTTGGGAATTTAGAAGAACTGCTTTTGTCACCATTAATGCTGCAGCAGCCGCAGCAGCTATTCCATTTCTGTCTGCATCGTGGCGCTTTTCGAAAAGAAGAGGTACTACCTCTGCGATTGAAGAATTCCCGAGAATATTTTCCAGATAGAGCAAAGTGCCTTGGGATACTGCCTAGCAGCTCTATGATGTGGGCTATGTGGTCTATGGAGGAGAGAAAAAAAAGGATATGGGAATGGGAGGGGCAAAGGGAAGGATGGGATAAAAGAAGAGGGAAAAGTGAAATTAGTAAAAAACCAGAACTAGATTCAAATCAACAATGTCTGCAGCACATCCATGCAGAGGCAAGTGGGACTGACAGGCCTCAGACACCAATTGGTGTACCAATGGTGACTGATGCCAGTTCACCCCAGGTTACCCCAGCATTGCAAGCAAGAAAGCATGGAGATGGTCAGGTTTACAGACGGAATTCAAGCCTGAATTCCCTGGTTTTCAACTCAGCTCTCAAACAGGACAGTAAAGTGGGCAACAGAGCTATGGACAAAAGGACCACAGAGAAGCCCTAGAGATTAATGAGTCCATTCTCACCCACCAGAGGCTGCCTGCTCCAGGAAGGCCAGGAGGCAAGGTAAGCTGTGTCAGGTGGGTGCTGCCCATTCACTGGCACTGAAGGGATTCAAACTCAAAGGAAAGCAACTGAATTTGGTGATTGAAAACCAAAACATGGTTCTATTTCAGTGAAAAAAAAAACCAAAAACCCCACAATCCTAAGTTCAGGAGGAGGAGGTAACTCAGCAGGCAATAACACTCACCTTCATCTCTGGAATAGTCTTCCCCAGAATGTGGTTCGAACAAATAATCTCCTGTTGCCAGCTCAAATGCCTAGGACACAAGAGGTGACATGCTGAACACATCAGAGATGGGCTCACAAGTCAGCAACTTTATCTCTTTATAGAGAAGACCTACATTTTATGAGGAACTCAGTCAAACTCAAGAGCATCTTAAAACAGCAAAACCCCTGTTTTCCCTTTCTTCCAAAAAAGTTGAAAGACACTAGGGAATATTTTTACATCTCTTCTAATGGAAGATGTAAGGGCTGTGCATTCTCTTCACACCACAGAAGGAAGAATGAAACCATCAGTGAGTCAGCAGCAGGCTTGGTCACTGCACACTACATGCTCTATAAATAGTGAAATGAGGGTTGAGTACAGGATTCTGAGTCCAGGGCCTGCCCTCACCACCACCTACCTAACATGGTCCCACACAGAGCAGATGTTTCCACTTTCTCTATTCATTCGGAATCAAGGAATATTTCCAGCAATTCAACATCTACTTCATCACTCTCATTAATTTCTGACTCAAGCACCTAGAACTCAAAACACTTCCTTTCCCCTTGGACCAGATGAAGAAAATCACCCTGCACACCCTCCTCAGGATGTCAGGAAGAGCTTCTCAATTTGCCAACAGCTACCCCTTAGCACACTGGTGTGTGGAGAAGTCCACTTATTTTCATTTCCCTTGCTCAGAGAAAAAGCTCAGGACCAGTAATTTAATTCTGTGACAATGTACAAAGACAATAGCTCTTGCTCTGCTGATCAAATACTTTTTTAAAAGTTAATTCCCATTTCTAGCTTCTTTCATACTTACTACCATTTTGCTTGAAACTTCCCTGCTCATTGACATTGATGGACAGGTGATAATGATGCCAACACTCCACCATCTCATGGGACTGCTCTCCCCATTCTTGTGGAAGAGCCACCACTGAGAGGTGACCCAGCATCAGTCTACCTCTCTTCCTTCCTTCAAATGATCAGAGTGTTGAGAAGGCTCCTCAAGATTCATCTGTCTAAGGGAGGCTGTCTTTAACTAGCAGGGCATCCTCCAACCCTTGAGTGTTTGTTTTTTAAAATATTTTATTATTTTTATTTTATGTGAATGAGTATGTTGCGTACATGTATGTAAGTGCACCACCACGTGCATACAATGCTCTGCAGAGGCCAAAAGAGAGTATCAAATCACCTGGAACTGGAGTTAAGGATGGCTGTTAGCCACCACGTAGGTGGCTGGGAATTGAACCAGGGTCCTCTGCAAGAACAGCAACTGTTGAGCTATCTCTCCAGCCCCCAACCCTTGAGTTTTAAAGATGACATGAATCATAACCTGATGGAGGAGGAGGGAAGTAAGATGCCAAGACTATTGCCAGCTGCCTTTGTAAAAAGCAGAATCTCAAGATCCCTGCCCTGAAGCAGACCTGAGTCAACCAGGATGAAGTCTGACAATCGAGAGCCACGCAGGCCAGCATTGCAGATGAAACAAGGACATCAGCAGAGTGCCTAGAGCTGGGATTCTGCCTCTCCAATTAACAATCACAGCAGCTGAGTCAATTCTCTGGTCAAGAAAGGAAAATTGTCATTTAGTCCCAAGTCCAAGTAGAAGAGAGTGTTTTGTGGCTGTGAAAATATTCAGAACTTGGAAGCCTGGAGGGAAATGTGGAAGCCCTAGCAGGAGGAAGGGGGCGGCAGAAGCAACTGTGACAGCAGTTCCAAGGGAAGCTCTGGCAGCCCCTCTTTAGTCCTGTGAAATTCTTTTTATTAAGGCTATTCCTCATTGCTTAACATTGAGCTATAGCAGATGAATGGTCTTCAAATGATTATTTAGAAAAGCATTCATGCTTTCAATGTAGTGCTAAACAAAGGGTATTGATGAAATAATTTAAAGGGGGGGTGCTGCTAGGCATGGTGGTGCACACCTTTAGTCCCAGCACTCAGGAGGCAGAGGCAGGCGGAGCTCTGTGAGTTCGAGGCCCCTCATCTACAAAGTGAGTTCCAGGCCAGCTAGGGCTACAGGGAGACCCTGTCTCAAAAAGACCTTTTAAAAAGGGGGGGGGGGGTGGAAACAGCAGTAGAAAGAGTAGCTCTGTGTAATGATGGTTATCCTGGTTCTTAAATATACAAGAGGACAAACATACTCCAATGAAAACATTGGCCTTTGTATGCCATAAATACTTTCCTGCTAACAGCTATGGAAATATGAAACATTACTGCCTTCTGTTTATGAAGTGCACCCTCCATCATTACTATTTAATATCTGAGAACTTTGGATTCTTCCTTCTATTCTTGGCCCAGTTTCTTCAGAGGGCTTTCCTCTAGGTCATCCTCTGTTTCCAATTCTAGGGAGGGCAGGTGCTTCTTTCCTGGCTCTGAATAAGTAAGCTCATGATGTGTCTAGTACAAAGGGGCATGGTGAAAAGCTTGCCAGCGGTTTTGATTCCGATCATTGATCAGAACTCACCATAGAGTTCCCCCATTCAGAAACAAAGACACTTGAGTGCAGAGAAGTAACCTAACCACACAGAAATTTACATCAATACACACTACACATTTACATCCAGAAAGGGTCTAAAGTGCAAGAAAAGCAAAGCAGACGCAACAGCTACATGTGCTGTTACTATGCCTTGTTTTCTCATGCTTTTCCAGCTATAGAAACCCAAAGTCCTCCTGACAGGCCTCTAGTTTCCAGTGTAGCCTCTGTCAGATATGGTGCTATTTATAAAACTGGAAGGACTATGAGCTTTATCATGAAGAATAATCTATGATCTTATCAATGCTTGGCATTATGAGGTCAAATTTAAACTTCAATAAACACTGGCTCCTCTGCCTTGTTCTCTAAGAAAAGAAAGTGACCTCTCTGTCATAACCTTTTAGGTAGGGGACAAAGGCTTGCTCCCTTGAAAAACCACTCTACTGAAAGAAACCCCATAAGCAGTCCTAGCAGCACTGGGGTCACCAGATGCAATCTCTGAGAAAAGGGTAGGTGAAAGGTGGTAGAGCATCTTGTTCCTTTACCCCGTGAAATGTTCAACTATGAATATTTTTCAAAACAAAGATGACTGTAACAGGGTAGAGGACAGGGATAGAGTGCAAGGACAAATCTTATGGGAGACAAGGCAGACAAGCTATATGAGATTATACTGACAGCTCCACCACTGTCCATATATCTGTGATTTTTGTCCTATTTTTATGGTTATATCACCAAAACTTATTATCTGAAATTAGAAGCACAAGACTTTAGGGTTCAAAGATTTCTCAGAGCCTGATCCATATAGCCCTGACACGTGGCCTTCTGAATTGCTGAGGACAAATGGAGGTTGGCCTTGCCACCCCCTGAAATGGGGCACACACACACACACACACACCCCAACACACACAGCCCAGCCGCCCCAGGTCCTCCTTTTCTGCTGACCTAGCCTCTGTCTCCTGTGGCTTTCAGCCTTCAGCTACCCATGCCCTCACACTGCAAACCAAAAGCTTCTCCCCCAGAAACCTCAAAATTCAAAGTAATGGCCACATAGCTATGGTTTCTTTCAACTACTAAGGCAAAAACAGGATTTTTAGTGCTCATTGGAAAACTTGAGTTTTTCATAATTTTAAAATTATTTTCTGAGGGGGGGGGTCCTAAATATGATCAAATATAGTATATGAAATTTCAAAAATTCAATAAAAAATAAAAGTTATTGTCTGAGCCAGGTGTGGTGGTACATGCCTTTAATCCCAGCACTTAGGAATCAGAAGCAGGTAGATTTCTGTGAAATTGAGGTCAGCCTGTTTTACATAGTCTATATAGAATTCTGGGCCAGCTACAGCTACAGGGAGACCATCTCAAAAAGCTGAAAAGCAGGGAAAAAAAAAATCAGAATTATCCATTAGAACAACAAAGGAGTAAGAAGACGTAGTGCTTTGGATTTGCCAGATCAAACACATCAGTTAATGCTAACTTGCAAGATAAAAAGATGAAAAAAAAATCTCATTTTTCTTATAACAAACAGCATTATCTGCTTAACAAAATACTTTTACATTAGCACTACAGAACATAAAATACAGAAGATTCAAAAGAACTGTTAAATTAACCTTCGAGTAACAGAAAACTGTTGTATTTATTCTAACCCCCTCACATTTTTTAAAAGAGGAGACAAGCTCCAAGCCTTGCATAGGAATTCTTTCATTTAGATAGCCAAAGAGAATTTGGATTAAAAAAATAAAAACCAGTATGAGAGCTGGGGATGTGATTCAGCTGATAGAACACTTGCCTTGGGCATCCTCCTCCCTCCCCCACACTGTAATTAAAAAAAAATTATTCCAAATAAGAAGCATGACACCACAGGAAGCCACATGCACACATGCCACCTTTTTCAGCAAGAAGCAGCAAAGACAAAAAGCCCACTGAGAAGATGCCCGCACTGGCCAGGATACAAATTCACAGTTTAGACTAAATGACAAAAAGATGCACAGAATCCTGAGGTGTTAGCTCATGCTCCTAATCCCAACACTCAGGAAGTGGTGGTTGAGGCCTGTCTTCAAAAACAAAACAAAAAGATGTTGGACTCAAGAGATGTCTAAGTTGATAAAGTGCTGGCCATAAATTCATGAGTTTAATCCCCAAAACCCAGAGGAAAAAATAAAAATAGGTGTGGTGGTGAATGCTTATAAAACCAGCACTGGAGAGGCAGACAAACAGATTGCTAGAGCTTGCTGGTCAGGCAGCCTAGCCTAATCCATGAGCTCCAGTCCGAGGAGAGCCCAGTCTCCAAAAACCAAGGTGGATGGCCGAAGAACAGCACTTGAGGGTAACCTCTGTCCTCCACATGCACACATATACACACACGCACACACATACACATACAGAGGAAGTGCTGGTAAATCTGAGTTTAGATGTACCTAGTCTCAGAATGCCCAAGTAAAATGGGTGGCTCCTGTTGCATCACCATGTTCTCTGGGGGAGCAGACCCAATCCAAGAGACTTCACGCCACCATCATTGTCTCAGAAAGTGTCTGCACATCCCAGACAATAAGCCAAGAAACACCCTGCATTTTGCATTAGAAAGAAAGCAGTGGTACACTGGCAGGTAGAGAAATCTCTTCCTCACCAGGAAGGAGATGAGAAAGCCTGCATTTCTGGTTGACCTGGTAGAGGCCAAACTGGCAGGGCTTTAAACTTCTGTCCACAGACAACCCTCTCCTGTGAGAATACACCTGATATTACCCCATGATGTGAGTGAAGAGGAGACCTACAAATCTGCAAGCTTCTAGGGACTGAAAGTAATTTCTTGAATGAGTCTGATTCTTTGGGCTTTGCAGGCCTGAAGAAGAGACCATCTCTCACAAGATTCAGGTACATTGAGAATTATTCTAATGATTAAAATAGTCAAGGCTGCAACCAACCTCCTTTGTCTCTCCCATTCTATAATGGAAAATATCCAGCAAGACTCTACCCAATCAAGAACATTAAAACAGAAAAGTCAACTCCTAGCAAAGAAAGTGGTAAAGGTTAGTCTCACCATGCATGCCGTACTCCAAATGTCTGCAGGGGTACTGTAGCCTGCTCCTATCAAAACTTCGATGGATCTATACTGACGTGTCTGGATATCCTCAGTAAAATGTTTATGCTGGAAAGGAACAGATGTGATAAACATTAATAAGGACAGCATCGTCACACACAAAATCATGATAAAATGCTATAGAAACTTTACTTACCACCCAACAAGCATTTCCCAGATCAGCAATTTTCACTCTAATTTTATCTGCATTCCGTGGATCCAAGGGGTTCACCAACAGGTCGGCTGCCCGGGTTTTTGCTGCCAAGGGCAAACGGCAGAATAGTTAGTGATGGGGATAAGTGGTTAGCACATGCAATGCTTACCAGGTATACTCATTGGTTTGTTTTGTTTTGTTTTTAAGAAGAGTGATAGGCTAGGTCTGGGCTCTTGCAAGTTGAAGTTAAAAGGATTAAAAATTATTTTCTCTAGCTCTGGAGAACATACTACAAAACAGAGTGAAGTAGGCTGTCCATAGGACTACACAGACACTGACTTGTCTTTCTTCACTTATTTCTGAAGCCTTTTGTCCCTAGGTTAGCCCTAAATCAGAACAGCCTTGTGCATTCCCTGCTTGTGTTGTGTCTTTGTGGCACCTGCTCAGCTGATCAGAGCCCATTCCCTCCTGGACCATACCCAGCTTACTGGTGACTCACGAAAGGCATATAGATAAACGTGAGTAATCAATTGCTTCTTGGCTATATGCAATTTACCTGACATGGGCATGACTGCTATCTTAACACCCAGAGCATACCCTACAACTCCAGCTTCCTAGGCTGAGCACTCAAAGACTTCAAGGAAGACTCCAAAATAGTGTTCTCCTGAATTGAAATAGGCCATAAAAGCAAGCTCTAAGGCAACTTACTAACTTGTCATACACTCAGGAGGTTGTGAATTCCAAGATGACCCTTAATGAATTGCCACAGAGGGCCCAGGGATATTGACTTCAGAAGGGTTTCTTAGGCAAGTCCTGACTATGCTGTAAGTAGAGTTAGCTGGGGAGCAGATGATGAAGAAAAGTCAGCATTCTGTTCTTCACACTTAAAACTGGCCTTATCCAGGCCAGCTGGGGCTACAGGGAAACCATGTCTCAAAAGGCAAAAAAAAAAAAAAAAAAAAAAAAACAAACAAAAAACTGGCCTTAGAGCTCAGAATATTGTGAAGGATGAAATTTAACTGGCTTTTATTTTAGAAGTCATCTTGAAATGGAATTTACAAACAGAAAAGCACATTTAAGGCAGACAATTAAACACCCTCCTCCTGGAGTCCTTTTTGTTTATCCCAAATTTTCTGCTAATGTTCTAAACCCATTTGGGGGTATAATGAACTGTGGAACCATGGTGCTTAGGAGGTTCAATGTGTCAGTAAACCCAATACAAGAAGGAAAGCCAGTCTTGCTAATAGCGGGGCAGATATCGACACGGCCACTAAGGACGTAAACCACCCACAGAGTCCAGAGGGGGACTCTAGAGGATGTTCAACTCTAGCCAATGTCTGAACTTTTACAGCCTTCCTTCAGGTTGTGAATCAGTATGGGCCAGCCAGGCAACAGAGTTTTTTTTTTTCTCTTGCTACCTGCCTTATGCCTACATCCCTTTATAAGAGTACTCACTCAGCCCCTCACGGAAGACCAGGTAGGAGCAGAGAAAAAGACACACAGAAACTCAGAAAATCTAAGAAAGGAGTCAAATATCCTGAAAGAGAAGGCCAAATGTATAAGAGGCTGTTGACAACAGTGTTCTAGGATAGCCAAAATACACTGACCAACAGACAAGTGACAAGGTAGCCCCTCCTGTCAAGGACAACTATTGGGGTTTTGCAGAACTGAATTAAAATCTAGGACTCAACAACCTAAGAGTTGTAAGCCTGGCAAATGACAAACTCTGAGACTCAGTTTACAGGAAAGGAGGAAGAGGAATGAATTTCCTCCCTAAAGAAAACAAAACGCACACTGAAGTCAAAACAGTATCAGGATGAATGGCCTGATGAGGGACTTGGCTCTACTAAGTAAGAGCAGCTAAACAATAATCAACCAGTTGGTGGAGTACCAGTAAGCAGGCACCTGAAGAAGCTACATAGATATTATGTCCTAGACTGGATTTCTGCTCTCCACGAGAGCAGTAGCTGAGTTGGCAAGTATCAGGGTTCTCCAGAGGAAGCAGACAATTTGCAGGCTGCTACCTATTCCTAGTGATTGCTTTCAAAGATATCTGCCAAACCTACCTGTACAATTCAAGTGCACTAGAGAAAAAAAAAATCTACTTTCAAAAAGACACCATTACCACACATTTAAGTACAGTTTCTTTCCATTTAATAGCCCTCTCTGATGTTAACTAAACAAAACACCGTTATCCTCCAGGTTCAGAGTTGCAAATAGCTATTTAGTTCACAAAGTGCCATAAATAATGATAGGCAATTTATCTCAATTTAATTGTATAAGAAAATAACAGGTAATTCTGATTTCCTTTCTCAAGTATACAGGTTCCTGGTTGGGGGCTGGGGGGTGGGGGGGCACATGTAACACTCAAAAGTCCTTGTGAACATAGATGTGCTCACACCTGCTGTATAACCATTCTTAGTTTGCCTGGAATGAGATCACCTCCTTGGATTAAGTTAGCTGCCATGGTGACCTATCATAGCTCCTTTTTAATTGATACTATCATAAATGACCTACAGGTAACGCTTTCCCTTCCAAAATGAAAAACTGGCAACTGCTTTGCTTCCATCAGGGCCAAAGTAGAAGGTTTCACCTATGAAGAGCTGGGGCCTTTAATTCACTTTCTCATAAACTGGTTTCTCGTAAATGTCTGGTTTCTAGCAAGATGGCATCAAGTAACAAACACCACAATGTGATGAGATAGCTGTCAGAACATCATAAAAGCAAGGCACAAATATCCCCTCTGTAAGTACCAGGCCCAAGAAAGTGGCAGAACTAGAATTAATGCCAATACCTGACCCATTCCTTCAACAAATTCTTACCAAGATCACTTTATGTATTGGATGCCATTACAGAACTGGGAACACAGCAAAAAGATGACATTCCCCAATTAGGAAACTCAAGCCATATACTGGTTAGAAATTCTGGTAATAATGTAAGCACCTCAGTAATTCATATACCATGCCAGAAAATAAAGAGAGATGGCTATGAAGAGTGTTGAGAAGTCTTTTCTTTCCTCCTCCCTTCCTTCCTTAACATTTATTTACTTACATATTGGGGGAGGGGGCACAGCACATGTGTGAAGGTCAGAGGAGTATCTGTAGGCTCCAGGGAATGAACTCGGGCAAGGCTTGGAGGCTGCAAGAGCCTTTAACCACTGAGCTATCTCATCAGCCCCAAGAAAACTTTTCTGAAAAGGTGGCATTCAACGAAAGCATGATGGAGAGAAGTTCCAAGAACAGGAGATAGACACAGCAAAGACCCTGAGGCAAAATTGAGTTCAAAATTTGGAAAACTTTAAAAAAGAAACCAGCACAAGTGGTACCTTAACATCAGCACACTCCCAGGGAGCAGACTATGGAGGATTCACCAGCTTGAGGGAGGGATGCCTCAGGGTATCATTCTATGTGAGAAACATACACTAGTTAGAAAATTTTGGACACAAGGAAAAGATGGTGGGATGTGCTTTAAAAGGATATATGTAGACTTCTAGACAGAAATCAGACTAAGGAGCAGGAGCTGAAGTACAATGGGCTGGAGTCTGTACCTTGGCAGCCTGGATAAGGACTGACTGACAGGATGATGTAGTAATGACTCCATATAGACCCAGCAGGCAATCTAACAAGATCACTCTGCTCTGAGGCATTGCCCTTCTGATGTCATGAGACATGTCATGGTTCTAGCAGCTAATGACTTAAGAGGAACCTCCTCTTCTCAACTTTAAAGTGCTATCCAGTGACTCTAAAGGAAGTCTATATCCTTTAGTCTAGCAAGTAAGTTCTTCAGACATCTCAATCTGGCCCTGACTTTTTTTTTACCATTCCCTCATATATCTTACTCTAATGGCAAGAACCAACACAACTCACACCAAAGCTTGATTTCCCATGCCTTGTATTCACATACATAGAACCTGGCAGCCAATTACAAGTCTCTACTATAGACTCTCCCATGCAGGAAACAAACATCACCTCCTTCAAGAGAGGGCACCTATGGTTATTCAATGAACTCAGCAGGAAGCCCAAACTTAGCACTTCTTAAAAAGTAACCCCAGTAAGGGAATAAGGAGCTGTTGCCCTAGTACATCCCTGACTTTAGCAATCCTGAAAAGTGCTGTTTGGGTAAGAGGTGGGACCAGTGATTAAAGACATTCCATTTTTACCTTATACAAAACACAAGACTGTAAGGAATGGTACATATGCTAGACATATGTTCTCAAAGGGTTTATACCCCAGTGAAAAGAAGAAATAAGCAATCACCTTATATTAAGAAAAGTATTAGCAGCAGAGAAGGGGGAAAAGAAACCGGACGTTAGCTAGGGAACACAGGAAATACCTACCCAGTAGGTGGTGTGCTGTTTTATCATATCCTGGATCAAGGAAAATAAAACCCAACTTTAGAACTATTATGGAGATTTGAGTACAGACTGGGTAAGAGATAACATCTTTAACTCAGTCAGAGGGTAAATGCTTAAATATTTCTTCTTCTTTTTTTTTTTTGGCTTTTTGGGACAGAGTCTTCCTGTAGCCCCAGCTGGCCAGGAATTTACTAAGTAGACCAGGCTGACCTTGAACTCACAAAGATCCACCTGCCTCTGCTTCCCAAGTGCTAGGATTAAAGGCATGTGCTACCATACCAGGCTCTTGCCTAAATATTTCCAAGTATCCTAAGCATACAATTTCTATAACACATACACAGTGGCAACTGCTAATTTTGAATCTAGATAGAGGATATGCAGTTATTTATTAAGCTAGACTTTTAAAATATAGAGGTGTTCTAATAAACCACTCCTATGACTCAGTGGATTGTGGTGGTTGTACATGGACACACATCCTGTGTGAAGATGACTGCTAGACACAATGAGGAATTGTTAAGAACTGGGAGCAAAGAGATAAACTGATTTGATTGGTATCATTTAAAAGTCTAGCAACCTGGAAGAGCAATTTGAAGACAAGGTGGGAATGGGAGCTAGAAAGAACATACAGATGAGACCAGCAAAAACCCTCTGTAACAATACAGCCAAGCAATGATCTTGACCTGATAGCCAAGGAAGACTCTTACTTGGAAGAAGGGCTGGTAGGGCATATGAAAGAAAACAAAAGTAATCAAAGAATAATCAAAGGAATACAGCACACAATGTTCATAGTAAGATCCAGAACATACCTGTACACTGCTGCTTACTACCACAGTACCTCACACTATGAATCACTCTCACTTGGGAATATAAGCACAGGGGCAGGTCAACCACTTTATCCTCAGTATCCACAACAGGATCAAGCATACTGCTGATTGAGTGAATGAAAAGGAATTGGACCATCAATGCCACCACACAGAAGCCAATGGAAACCATGGGTAGGAACAGGTCAATCAGAGAAAGACCATAGTATAAGGAGAGCCAACTAAGAACAGAGATAACTTAAGACTAGGAAATTCCCCACAGGATGAGCAGGGCACTTGCAAAACAGAGGAGAACTAGGGCTGGTGTGAAGGAATAGTAGAGTCAGTAGAGTAGGGCCCAGGTGTGAGTCGCCCCCTCCTACTCCTTCCAAACCGAAGAAGGCTAGAGATAAGGCCAGCTCTCTGATAGTACCCAAATATTCTTTCATTCAAGCTACATCTTCTGATTTAAGTAATCTGTCTCCAATAGAATTTTCTATATTGCCTATATTAGAACATTTCCTCTCATCATTCACTCATTCATTACAGTTTTAAATTCTCTTTCTCCACAGGAATTTTTTCCTCTTTAAAAGCCTTAAACTATACCTACCTACCTCTTACTTCCTAGAGTGAATAATAATGTGGTAGGTGGAGCTAAACAAGGAATTAGGAAGCTAGGGGCTCAGAACCTATGAGTTACTAGCAAGTGACTATGCTGAGCTAGCTATCCACCATGCCTGGGCCTCAGATGCTGCCAATGTGGCACGGCAGTAGCAGGTATGCCCTGTTGGGGCACAGAAGAGCCAAGATGGATGCACTGAAAACTTTTTTTTTCATATATAATTATTATTACATGTCACATATTATTTAGTTATACCATTTACCTGTAGCATTTGGTCCACTGCTACTAATAACATTAGATAGAGCCTACTGCTTTCCCTTAATAGAAGAAACTGAGGCACAGAGAAGTTAAGAAACTAAGTCCCATGACTATTAAGTTTCAAGCTGGGGATTCAATTTCTTATGTTTGAAGCCACTGCCTTAAACTATCACTTGAAAAATAAAAGCAACTACATAAATTACTTCATATATGAATCAGTAAGTATGCAAAAACTCATCTGCAATAGAAACAATAAATGTAAAGATACAAGTTATTTTGCCTAAAATTACTGATACTTCTTTTAGGTGAATCCTGGTACTTGGCCAGGACAATGGTGAGGAGAAAACCATGCCTTGCCACGTGAACAAAACATAAGCTAGGATAATTAGTTAATAGCTAACAAGTTCCAAAGGCTACAGGTCATGGGCCTGCTGCAATAAAAGGGACTGCAGAATCTCTTGGGCTGTTTCTTGAGCTGGCTCCTCAATTACTTGCCCTTTGTCAAAAACACTCTTTGTCAGCAGAGGGAGCAGAGGAGGTTTCTGAGCTTTTCCACTATGGGCCAGAATGGAAACCAACTGTGATACCCAGTTTTCTCTTACTGAAGTCACTCAGCAAAATGGGCCATTTGGCATTTGCTCCCAAAATAGTTTAAAGAAAGAGTCCCAGGTAGAAAAGGACTTAAGATCCAATCTACAATCTGTCTGCATGCTTTATTTTCTTTTAATATTTATTATTTTTATTTGTGTGTATTGCCTGCATGTAGGTAAGTGCACCCCTTTTGTGCAATGCCTGCGGAGGACAGAAGAGACTGTCGGATCCCCTGGAACCTGAGTTACAGACAGTTGTTAGCTGCCATGTGGGTACTGGGACTTGAACCCAGGTCTTCTGCAAGAACAGTCAGTGTTCTTAACTGCTGAGCCATCTCTCCAGCCCCTGACAATCTGTCTGCATGCTTTAAATCTATGACACTTCCTTTACAAATTATTATTGGGGCTGGAGAGATGGCTCAGCAGTTAAGAGCACTGACTGCTTTTGCAGAGGTCCTAGGTTCAATTCCCAGCACCCACATGGAGGCTACAAACCGTCCTTAACTCCAGTTCCAGGGGACTCCAAGTGTACTCACATACATGCAGGCAATATACTCACACACATAAAAATAATTTTTAAAAAATTATCTTAGTTTTCAAAAATAGGGTTCCATAATCAGGAAGAACCATTCAATAAATCATGACTTCTTGATCTAGCTGAAGAGCAGGCAGATATTCTCTTGAATAGAAAAAAAAACCAACAAAACCTAAAGATAACACTACCCAGATAGAAAAGGTTATAAAACAGAAACTAAATAAAAGGTGCATGTAGAAAGATACAAGGTTGCTAGACTAGGAAGGCTTTTCCATTCATTTGATGTCACTGAATAAATATACAAAGAATGAAAGGTGCTCAGAAATGGGATTTCAATTAGTCAGTGAAAGCCTAGTGCCATATAACATATATTTAAAGCATACTATTTGTTCTTGAATATAAAGGCAATAAAATAAAAAGGTTAGTGCACATTTACATGGCTTTTCCCCTCTAGGAAGCTCCTTTCGCAGTGTTTGTCAAGGTATGAGTCTGTCCAGTTAAAGCAGACAGTAGGTATGATAGGGCACTTACTTTTTGGCAAATCTCCAGTACTGGAGGCTGAAACTGTCCTGCTTCTGTCACAAGATGGACTGCTTTCTTCTTGCTCAGTAAGTGGTGATCCCTCTGAAAGTGCAGAGCCACAGGCCACAGGTTCTAAGGGCCCAGAGAACAATGATGTAGAAAACTCTGGAAACTGTGACTCTGGAATCTTATGTTGTCCATTTGGCAATTCACCATTGAATTGTTCATAGGAGCTGCTATACGTGTAATCACTCTCTGCGTTTGGCTCATCAAGGTTATATTCCTCAGGATTTGGGCAATCATCTTCATCATCCTCTTCATCCTCCAGTTGCTGTTCCAGTAAGAATGGGCCATTCTCAATATGGCCGTTGGTTTTAGGGGACTCTATCCATGTAGGGTCTATATTTGCAAGTTCCTGTTCAACATCATCTTCATCTTTCTCAGCATTTTCCTTCTCTGCATCTTCTTTCTCTTCCTGGTCTCCAGCTTCACCTTAAAGATGGGTGGATCAAGATTAGAACTCATTACTTTCCACGATGCTTCTAGTTACTTAGCTCCTTCAACAAGGGACACTTTTTTTTTTTTTTAAATGTACCACAGAACATGTCTCTTGTTTTTCTAAATCTTGTTTTCTGCTTATTTACTAATTAGCCTTCTCTTAGGAACAAGTTAGCTCTAACTTTGCAAGTAAAACTGGACTTTCAATCCTTTCTTTTTAAAAAAATTTTTTTTCCCACAGAAGCCTATTGTCCATGCTCTTCAAGATTCTTACTTTTTTTTTTTTTTTTTTTGAGACCCCTCTCCCCACCCCATAGTCCCAGCTGGCCTGGAACTCACTATGTAAACCAGGCTGCACTTGAACTCACAGAAATCCACCTTCCTCTGCCTCTCAAGTGCTGGGATTAAAGGCGTGCACCACCATGCCCGGCTCTTGATTCTTACTTTATTTTTAATTAAGTGTATGTGTATGTGCATCTGAATGTGGGTATGTGCACCTGTGCCTATGGAAATCAGAGGTGTGGAATCCCCCTGGCACTGGACAGGCAGTTGTGAGTTGCCTGATATGGGTGCTAGGATCTGAAATCAGGTCCTCTGAAAGAGTAGTCCATGCTCCTAACTGCTGAGCCACATTGTCAACCCTCAACCCCTTGTTCTGCCATTTTAGAGAAAAGATTTGTTGTGCATCACAGTTATACAAAGGTTAATTACAAAATAAAAGAACCATAATTAAGAGGAGAGGGGCATGATGTTTCTCAAACATGTTTTTTCACCTTTCTGAAAACTACTTTAAAATATTAACATATGTCTAGCCTACATTTTATAAATGGAGTATGGGGTGCTTCCCATAAACTTCAAAAAGAAGTTAAAGTCATCCTTAGTATCTGAGGCAGCAGCACAAAGCCAAACAAGTGTGTGCCATGACTATTCCCCGTGTGGCCCCCATCAGTCCTACCCCCATGTTACACTAACCGTTGTCTTTTGCTGTCTCTTCCTCAACCACATCCTCTAATCCTGCTTTTAGTTTCCCCTCTGGGTGATAGTCATCATCTTGCTCATTGGAAGGTACAGCAGAGGTGACGTTTTCCTCTATTATTTTCCTTTCAGCTTCTCGCTCCAATTCCTCAATCTCCTGCAGGCGTTTCTCCAGTAACTCAGCCTGCCTCTTCTGCTTCTTTTTCAGCTTTTTCTTTTTGTTTTTAGATATTTTTCCTATCTACAACATGTTAAGAAAATACCGTAGGTCAGGTGCTTCTTTTTAAAGCATTATACAATAACATAAGAGCTAACAATATGGAAACCTCTGCTTTCTCATGTCATATTCAGTTATATTCACAAGCCCAGCTAGAAGATTAACTTTATGAGTAGGATTGTGACAAAACTGCTGGTAATTATCAGTCTTCTCCCCAAAGGGATATATAAATTATATCAGAAAGTCTAGGAGAACTGAGTACCTTGAAATACCGGGCTATAAGCATTAAGTTTCTCTTGGAAGTTTTATTTGCTGTTGCCCATATACAAAGTTATTCTTATTATCACAAGGACAAAAAATAAATGTCTGCTAAGACAGGTGATCAACAGCACTGTGTTTGAGTTTAGTTCTCATACTGAGATGTGATCAACAACCAACATAACATGAATTCTCAAAAATGAGTATACTATGTAAAAGAGAAAAAAAAAAAAAAACAAAGCCACAGTTTTCCTCTGCCTCCAGTTATGGTCATAATCATAACCACGGAGAATAACGGCAATTGGTGCCTCCTAGATTTCATAGACCCATGAACTCAAGTCCTCAAACCAAGGATGCAAATGACTTGGGCTCCCCTGTAGCAATTCCTCTGTACTGTAACTGATTTCAAACTGGTAGGTATTTGATTGGTCACAGTACTAAGACAAGACTACAAAACAGATATGCTTACTCATACTTAAAAAACAAGCTGGAAAAAAGATAAACAGTTTCAGAAAAAAAGAGGGCACTTGGAGGCCAAGCAGAAAGAAAGTAAAAAGGTTTTAGAAGTTGGGAGTGGTGGTACATGTCTTGAATTCCAGCACTCCTCAGAAGCAGAGAGGCAGAGAGGCAGAAGGGCAGAGGCAAGCAGATCTCTATGACTTCAAGGCCAGTCTGATCTACTTATCAAATTCTGGGCCAGCCAGGGCTATACAGTGAGACCCTGTCTCAAAAACAAAAACAAACAAAAAAAGGTTTTTGGGGGTTTTTTTGGTCTTTTTGAGACAGGTCTCCCTGTAGCCCCAGCTGGCCTGGAACTCACTATGTAGACCAGGCTGGCCTTAAACTCACAGAAATCCACCTTCCTCTGCCTCCCTCTATGCTGGGACTAAAGGCCACCACACCCAGCTTACAAAAAAAGGTTTTAGAACAAGTATACTTCAAACATACCTAAAACCTTACAATTTACCAAACTCAGCCAACAGTACCCCAGAAAGTATATGAATAAGACTGGCCTTGCAACAATAGCTTTGACTATTTCAACTTAAAGTAGGAAGTCTTGCACATTTGAGGATACAGAACATTAACAAACATACCCACTTTTAAATTAATATAGATAAGAACATTTGCTATATAATTTGTGTATTCAATAGTGAATAGTCTGTTTTGACATGCTAAATGTATGTGCGAATACTTACAGGTTTTTGCTGTGGAGCAGTACTCACTAAAACAAAATAAAAAAAAAGGGGGTGTTCAGAAGGAAACAGATATCTTGGGGTAATTTATTTGCAAAAGGAAATAATTACTCTTTTGTAATAGTATCCAACTTTAGAAAACTATAGCTAACAGACCATTATCGTGGAAAGCCAGGGCTCAGGATCCTGGAGCAGAAGCAGAAGTATGAAGGTTGCTTACAGGACTGCTCAGACACCTTTTTCTTTTTCCTTTTTGGTCTTTTTGAAACAGGGTCTCTCTCTGTAGCCCCAGCTGACCTGGAACTCACTATGTAGACCAGGCTGGCCTTGATCTCACAGAGATCCTCCTGCCTCTGCCTCTGGAATCAAAGGCATGCGCCACCATGCCCGGCATTCTTAGAGGGTTTTAATTAGTGACCTAGAGAAAGTTTACAGATTTCAAAATAACTGGCTCTTAAAGGGCACTGCAGAAGCTGTTCACATTGTGCTACTTCTCTTATTTGCTAAAATTAAATAACAATGCATTTTAAAAAAACAGCCTCTCTCAAAGCACTAAATGACAAATTGAGGAAATGAAGTTAACCAAAAGGGAGAAGAGTTCACAAATCACAGTCACTGAACCAAATTTTACAGACAAGGAAATGAACAATTTGGATGAGAAGATTCCCATCTATGTCTGAAACGAATTTGACAAGCCTCATACAATTAAACTAAATCAGATAGTACAGTATGTTGCAGCAATGGCTCCATAAATCATGTTAGACACCTACAAGTGTATCAAAAGCTTCTTAAGTTGGCTCCACGAGCTAAGTAACACCTTGACGGTACATAAGATGAGGGAATGGCACATCTCCCTCTTGCCCCAGAAATTCGTAAGACCTATACCTAGCAATGTGCCAGGATACAGGCACTGTGATTAGAGTGATACAGACACTTTACTGCCACCAATAAAAGCTATGAAATTCAGAAATCAAACTATGCTGACATTCAACTCACTCAGTCCTTTTCCCGACCCCCAGGTCTTTCATAGTGAATCCCAAATGTACAGCTACATTAACTTAAGAGGAGAAAGCATTTTAACAAAATTTAAACTAGAAAAAATTCTGATGACAGGTAAGTTACAAGAAACTTGTTATACATTCTCTATAAAGAAGTAAGCAATACAAGAACACGTTCCTATGTAGATAAAGCAACAGCTAAGAATTCGGATGCCCTTTAAGTAGAGGGCAATAGTAAAAATTAATTGGAGCATCTTCTCAAGAAAAAGGCATACCTATTTCTAGAACCAAATTCTTACAGAAAGTTCCTAACATATTTAACTCAACTGTCTTCAACGCACAACTCTGAAAGCTGACATGACCACAAGTAAAACAAAAACTGGGAGGGCTCAGTTCCCTCACCTGCAGACCCAGAAGGAGGAGGAGCACCGGCTTTCTGCCACTCAGTGGCCTCAGCTGCCATCCTTCTTACATATGCATCATCCACACACAGCAGGATGTTTTCCGGCTTTATGTCAGTATGAATTATCTTGCATTTGCTATGTAGATAATCTAACCCTTGAAGGACCTAAAATAAAGAGAGGAAGGAAGCTATTAACAATTTTTATCATGTAACGTATTTATTTGTAAAATTAAGTACTATACCACATGGTACACAATTTTGTAGCTATAGGAGGATATTCATTTAAAAAATATTTTGTCCATAGGTAGCTAATGCACATCATTCTAGAGCTTATCTATGCTCATAGAAGTAAATGAATCTCTGTCTATGAATGAATCTCTTCATAGAACAGAGATTCTTTTGTAAGAACTTCATACAAAAATAATCTAAATACACTTATCATGATTTACTGTTTTAGGTGTACAGTCATCTTTAGATCACAACCATCACCACTAAATGACTGAGAACATTTTCATCACTCCACAAAGAAATTCCACTGCCATTAGCAAATACTTCTCATCTCCCTCCAACTCCTACAGTCCTAACAACTAAGCTATTTGATTACAAAATCTGTATATTTTTAGTTAAATGTGTATATGTGTATATGTGTATGTGTGTATGCGTTTGGGCATGTGGATGTACTTGTTATGAGGGCCAGGTCAATACTAGGTATATTTCTCAATCGCTCTCCTTTTTTTTTTTTTAATTAATTGTTTTTGAGACAGGGTCTCTTACTGAACCTGGGAACTCACCAATTTGGTTAGAAGGGCTTACCAGCAAGCCCCAGGGAGTTTCCTGTCTCTGCCTTCCCAGGCACACACCACTACACCATACTTTTGATATGGGCGTTGGGGAATTTGAACTCAGGTCCTTATGCTTGCATGACAAGTCCTTTACCCAGACACCTCCCCAATACTAAAGCAGTCTTTTGGAACTGCTATAATGACTGAGGCTCATATTGGGTGTCATGCATCAGCATTTCTTTTACAACTGAACAATATTCTCCTATATACACATATGTTATGTTGCCTAGTCATTCATTCAATGTGAATCTGCACTGTTTCTACTTCTTGGGTACTGAAAGTAATATTTACATTCTTGCATAAGTTTCTGTGTAGTCATTATCTTCTTGCTTTTCACAGTTACATACCTAGAGGGAAATTGTTGAGTTACATGGTAACTATAGTTAACCTTATAACGAGCTACCATATTGTTTACCACAGTAGCTGAACCAATGTTCAGTTTCATGGCAATTCATGACACCTTCAATTCCTTCATGCTCACTAAAAATTACCATTATTAGCCAGGCATAGTGGTGCACGCCTTTAATCCCAGCACCTGGGAGGCAGAGGCAGGCGGATCCTTGTGAGTTCAAGGCCAGCCTGGTCTACAGAGTGAGTTCAGGTCAGCTGGGACTACAAGGAGACCCTGTCTCAAAAAGCCAAAAAAAAAAAAAAAAAAAAAAAAACCCAAAAAACACATTTTTTTTTTTTCCCCCTTTTATAAAAAAAAAAAAAAAAAAAAAAAAAAAAAAAAAAACCCCAAAATTACCATTATTTATTTTAGCCCATCTAATGGGTATGAAATTCTGTTTCATTGAGTTTAATTGTTTTTGAGAGAGGGCCTCACTTTGTTACCCAGGCTGATCCTGAACTTGTGAGCCAAAGCAAATCTTCTACCTTAGCCTTTCTGATACCTGGGTTTACAAGAGTGTCCCACTACATTCAGCTTTCATTACAGTTTTGACCTATATTTCCCCAGTGGCTCAAGATGTATGTTTACTTTTAATACTGGAGAAAAGTAAAGAAGTAATTTATATAAAAAATAGCCTTGGTTCTCCACAACACTATAGCATTAAAAGAAAATAAAGTGAGTGTAGTAATTCATTCCTTTAATCCCAGAACTCGGGAATCAGAGTCAAGAGGATCAGGAGTTAAGGTCAGCCTCAGCTACTTAGTGAGTCCAAGGCTACCCTGGGCTACATGAGACTGCAACTTCAAAAAAAAAAAAATTAAAATAATAAAAATAATCAGAAGTGTAGCACATTAAAACAAACTCTTGTAGGTTGCCACTGCCCCAAAGGCAAAGTCAATATTTTTCTTGAATTATTTCCAAAATTTATTTAAGTATGAATTGAAGAGAAATCCTAAATGTATCATTATTTAGACTTTTTGCTCATAAGAGACAAATAATGTGATATGGGGTTGGAGAAATGGGACAGTAATTAACAGCACTTGTTGCCTTTGGAGAGGACCCAGATTCAGTTCCTAGCACCTATATCTGACAGTTCACAGCCTCATTTAACTCCAATCCTAGGGGATGTGGGTGCCCCTCTTCCGTAGGCACTGCACACTTGTAGTATACACACATACACCCTTACCCACATAAACATAAAATACTGCATGTATTATTTTTTAATATTTTATTATTTTCATTTTATGTGTATGAGTGTCATGCCTGCATGTAGGTAAGCGCACCCACGTCGTGCAATGCCCACAGAGGACAGAAGAGGCTGTCAGATCCCCTGGAACTGGAGTTAGCTGCCATGTGGGTGCTGGGATTTGAACCCAGGTCTTCTGCAAGAACAGTTTGTTCTTAACCGCTGAGCCATCTCTCCAGCCCCTGAATGTATTATTTTTTAAAGTATATGAAATCATCCAACATTGGGAAATTGTCAGCAAAACCAATCTTTCTCTTGACCGTGAGTATCCAGTGAAGTAACTTTCAAAGACCGTTCAACAGTATTACAAAGTGAAAAAGAACAAAATTCTTAAAAGAAAAATTTAAACAGGGACAGCTATCCCTTAAACAGGCATTACAGAGGCCTTAAAACCTCTAGAATAACACATAAGTACTTTTATAGGAATTCATGAAAAAAGCATTGGTTGAATATTAATCACAGGCTAGGCACTATTTGAAATGTTTGATAAATAGCAATAAACAAAATTCCCTGCCTTCAGGGTGTTTAGAGTACTCACACAGCTGACTTAATTCATGGCAGTAGGTGGGAATAAGGGAGACTTGTTCAAAAAAAAAAAAATCCCAAAAGGAAAATATAGGCACAATAAATGCAATTTAGTAAGATACTGATGAGTTATTAATAAGTACCAATAAAATGAAAAGAACACCAGGTGTGGTAGTACAGGAGACAGAGGCAGGCAGATCTCTGTTGAGATTGAGGCCAGACTGATCTACATAGCAAGTTCTAGCACAGCTGGGGATACAGGGAGACCCTTATCTTAAAAAAAAAACTAGAGCTAAAGACAAACTTCTGATATTTTGTAACTTAGAATATTTATTGTTCAAGGGCTGGAGAAATGGCTCAGTGGTTAAGGGCACTGACTGCTCTTGCAGAGGACCTGGGTTCGATTTCCAGCACCCACGAGGCGGCTACGAACCATCCTTAACTCCAGTTCCAGAAAATCCGAAGCCCTCTTTTGACCTCCGTGGCACTGCACAACACAGGTACACTCACATACAAGCAGGTAAAACACTCATACATGTAAAATAAAAAATTTAAAAAGAATATTTATTGTTCAAAATAACTTGGGTTATTTATATAGTCAGTTATGTAGCCAATGCAAACCTACCATGTCCAAGGCCCTGCTCAATCCCCAGTACCACACACACCAAAGTCAAGACAAAAATCTTAATTAAAAATATACTTCAACTGGGCTAGGGATATGCCTTAGTTGGGGAGATGCCTTTGCTTCGAAAGCCTGAGTTCAAGTCCATGGAAAACCAGTGGACATGGTGGCCTCTCCTGAAATTCCAGCACAGAAGGCATGGGCTCCCCAAAGTAAGCTGACTAGCAAGACTAATCATATCAGAGAGCTCTGGGTTTTTCTGAGACTATGAATAAGATGGAAGAGCAATAATTAAGGGTAATTTCCAGTATCAACCTCGGGCCCTCACATGTACATGCACTCAGATATATGCAAAATTCACAAACACAGGCACACACCACACACACATATGAAAAATGAAAAAAAATACACTTAAGCCATGGTAAAATATCAAAGGACTAATAATAAGAATGATACCATTATGGGGACTGGAGAGATGGCTCAGTGGTTAAGAGCACTGACTGCCCTTGCCAAGGACCTAGGTTCAATTCCCAGCACCGACATGGCAGCTAACAACCATTATTAACTCTAGTTCCAGGGGATCTGACACCCTCTTCTAATCTCCACAGGCACTGCACAACACAGGTACACTTACACACATGCACACAATATACTTATACACATAAAATAAAAAGAATTTTTAAAAATTAAAAAAAAAGAATGGTACCATTATGTATTGTGATAAAGACTATATGCTCTTGGGGCTGGAGAAGTGGCTCAGTATTTAAGAGCACTAACTGCTCTTACAGAGAACCAGGGTTCGATTCCCAGCACCCACATGGCAGCCACAACCATCTGTAACTCCAGTTCCAAGGGATCTGATGACTTTTTCTGACCTCCACAGGCACTGTATGACACAGGTACACTTACACACAGAGGCAATACACTCATACACACAAAATAAAAATAAAAAAAAAGATTATACTACTAAAGGGAACATAATCCAATGGGCCTATCAGTTATTCACTGACATTTGATGTATAATTTTCCACTTGTGCAAATAAAGTGGAGTTTTTACATTTGAACAAGAAAGATTCTCAAAACTATAAGAAATTAAGATTATTCTCATTGAAGTTTCCTTTAAATATTAACCTAAAGTAAAAATATCATCTTGCTTTCCTAAATTAAGTTGCCCTTATATTTCCACATTAGTCTCTTTCGATATAAAGACTGCTTCACCATGTGGGAGGCTTTGCAGATAGGAGCAAATATGACTCACTATGCAAATGTGTTAACATTACTTTCCAAACGCAATGATGAGCCTGAGACAAGGGAAGCATTTTCAATAGGACTTGAGGTTCCAGATTTCTTAAAATACTACATAGTGCAAACAGATGGGGTAACTTTCTTTAAAAAATACTGCTACAATCTCTGACAATAAATACAGGACCCCACCATTGGGACAAATTAAACAAGTTAAGAAATGTAAATCAGTCCAATGGGTACCACACCAACCAAATTACACAGTCTTTGTTACTCTTCACATATATAGGCTCTGCA